AGATCTTAAAGAATTCAATAATTACTAACATCTTCTAATTATAAGTATTATATCTTCTCTGTATAAGTAATAACTTCTTGAAGAAGAAGATCACTGATCTTTATTCATAGTATCTTATAGACTCTGTGAAAAAGTCTTCTTTTACAGATAATTTATTTTCTGTTTTCTCAGAGATAATTATTCTCTGATTCTTTTAATATTGAAAGATCTTCAGTATTAACTGTGAAAAGATTTCATAGATTTCATTTCTAAATACATCAGTCTCACACTGACTGAGTAAGTCAGAATTAAAGTGATTCAGTACTATAATATCTATAAAAGCTTATTTCAATTCAGTAAACATCTGCACAGTATCTTGAGTGAGAGTAAACAGTCTCATTTTTCTGTCTTTCACACTTCTCTTTAACAGATCTGTAAGGAGAACAGTAATCTATAAATATATATAGATAAATCATCTGTAGAAATTTACAAATTCTAGAAATATCTGCATCTTATAGTATATCTGCAGCATCAGTCAGTTCTTAATAATAAAGACTCAGCTTCTGTTCATTGAAATACTGTTCATCTCAATAATATAACTTAAGAAATCAATTTTCTGCATGTAGAATGAGTATTTTTCAGTATTTATATAAAGTTAATACTATCTTAAGTGACTTAATACTTTTTAAACATAAGTATCATATTCTTTCTCTGATTTCAAGAAGATTAGAATATCATTCAGATATACTATATAGAAGATGTTAACAAGACTCTGCAGTGTCTTATTTATATAGATCTGAAAGATGACTGAAGCATTATAAAGATTAAAAGATAAGACAAGATATTTAAAATTACTGTACTTAGTATAAAAAGCTGTTTTTCAAACATCATCTTTGTTAATTCTGATTCTATAATAGATATTCTATATATTAATCTTTGAGAATATCTTTACTTCAGATAATTGATCAATCATCTTATTAATCAATGATAATGAATAGTAATTCTTAACTGTTATCTTATTAAGACCTCTGTAGTCTATGCATAGACATAGTCTATTATTCTTCTTAGATATAAAGAGTATAGATATCTCTGCTGAACTCTTTAATAAGTGTATTCAGTTCTTTGATTACACTTCTTCAAGATATTTACACAGAATATTCAATTTCTTTACAGACAAGTTATAAAGAGATCTGTATAGCACTGTTACATTATCTTTAAGATAAATCTTATATCATATCTTGATATCACAAAACTTCACTACTTCTCTTTTTAAAAAGACATTCTTATAATCTGTAAAGAGACATTGTATACATCTATTTTCAATAACAGATACTACTGCTAATCTTGCAGTAAGAGTGATGACTTCTTCATCTATTTTCAAGTCTCAATCATCTGCTATACAGTATATTAACTCTATCTTTTTCTCAAGATTCTTCTGATGAAACTCTTCAGATTTCTCTATCACTGTCTCTTTATTAGTAAGATAATACTGTCACATCTGAGTGACTCAGTTAATAAGAGAATTATTTTCTCTTAATTATAAAAGATCTAGAATGACATTCTTATCTATGATATTAACTGTATAAAGAAGCAGACTGCTCTTCTTAAAGATTTCTTCTAAGTCTGTAATTACACACTTCACTTGAATTATATTAAAACAGTGATATTTTATTTCATTAGTAAATTTCATATAATCTGATGAATCTATCTTCTTTTAACTCTTTATCAAAGAAAAGAAATAGAATATAAAGTTAGTATCTGTTCTGAAGTCAAGTAGACATCTTACTAATATCTTCTCATTCAGAGTATATATTATAATTATAATATAAACTCAGAGATATAAGAATTATTAATTCTTTATTTCTTTCTCTTCTTTATCTTTCATGAATATGTTTGCTAGAAGAGAAGTTAACTTTGAGAAGATATTTTCTCAGTTTCTTCTCTTCTTCAGTTTCTTATAATTACTGATATAGTGATTATCAGCTTTATAGTTAAAATAGAGATCTTTATTAAATCTTTTTTAGTGTTTCTTTACAGTGAGTGAAGAATCAGAATACTTGAAATTCTTCTTTACTTTCTCTACACTGAAGCTGTCACAGCACTGTTTAGATTCTATTATTAATTACTTAGAAGAGATCTTATTAATCTTTTTCTCAGAGAATTGATTATTTAAATAGATTCAGAAAGTCAGGTTGATAAGCTTAGTATAATTAATTAATAAACTCTGATATTATAATATTATTATTCACATCTTATAAGTCAGCTTTATAAGATAAAGCTGTGTTTTTAATTAATTCAAATTATCAGCTAATTTCTCTCAATATTCTTCAAATCTTGTATTGAAATTAGAAGAATTCTCATTATCTTATTAATATAATAAGTTGAACTACTGTGCTGTTATGAAGCTGCAGTTACAGTGATCTTCAATTTAATTCAGTAGAAAGTTCTTAAATTCTTCTCAAGTTATAGTAGTATTGATATACTCAAGCTCTCTCTTCTTAATGACTCAAGTAGTTACAGAGATGTCTTTAAGAAGATTGACAGTGTATATTACTTATATCTTATAAGTATTATACTGGCTCAGATTAAGGTGAAATTTCTGTTCAAGAATACAGATAAAGCTGTAAAATTCAGATAATATATTTCTCTTATATCTCAGAGAATTTTCAATCTTAATCTCTCTATCTTTATAATAGATATAGATGTGTAGAGACTACAGTAATAACAGAGTAATTGAAGAGCTCATGTCAAAATATACAGTGAGTTCAGAAATCTCAGATTTCTGTCAGAGTAGAGATATATATACTTTAGAGAATAATATAGTGTTTCTTTCAGAGAGTGAGATCAGATCAGTCTTAGTATAAGTATATGAGATTATATTAATCTATTAAAGCTCAACTGATTCAAACTTATAATCAGATTAAGCAATTTAAATTGTAATATAATAGAATCAAAGTAATGACTAGTCAGTGACATTATATAGAAATAGTTATTTAAGAAATTATATAAGTGAGCTTGACTATCTTACTTAAATAGTGAGCTCATAGACTACAGAGTTATTATGAGAATATCACAGATATAATACTTAGTATACTAAGAAGATTGTATAAGATACACAGTAACTCTTATATATATTTCAGTCAGAGAAAAAATGAATTACTGACTTCTTTAATAAGAAGTCAGTATCTAGCTATTCTATATAGACAATGAATGAATACTCTTCTTTCATTTCATGAGTAAGAATAGCTGAAGTGATATCTCAGCAGCATCTTACTGTTAAGAAAAAGTAATCTGCTGACCTTATATAGAAGCAGAGTTCTTATATTTATCAATCAAATCTTTCTATGATATATCTGAATAATGTTATAGAGTGATTGAAAACCAGTTCAGATAGAATGAAATCATTCACATGAAAGTAATAAGCCGTGTGAAACCGCAGTGAGGTCTTAGCGCGGTCAGAGGCGTAATATAAGCTTAATAATAATTTACTATAGTGTATCTGAAGACTCTTAATACTGTTTTATAACTTAACAGTGAAAGTTGTGATTAAGATGACTCTTACAGAGTTCAAACCTGCTCTCTCTTAACATTCATTCTCTGAGAAGAAGGCAGTTAATTAAGACTTTATAGTAGTGTAGTTAATCACTACGCTATCTAAAAGATTAGATAGTAGTCTTATACTGTTTTAATAAGACTTACTATCTACTCTTATTACATTTTTCAAATGAGACTATAATTTTCACTTCTTAATTTAAATTCTTTTTATTGCTTTAAATGACTTTAAATCTTATTTAAGTATTATCAAAAAGTGTTACTTTTTAAAAAATTAAAAATAGTCTAAAAAAAATCTTAAAATGTCTAAAAATAGTAACTTTATATTAAGAATAAGACTAAATGAAACTAAATGAAATTACTTTCTTAATTTTTCTAAGTCATGATTTCATTTTGAGATCTGATATATAGTTACTTTGCATGTTTTTTTAATAATTAGTCTCAGTGAAATTCATATTAAGAAATGTATAAGATCAGATTAAATGAGACTAAATATGAAATTTATAGTTTCAGTAGTCAGTCTATTCTTTTTACTATGAAAATTTTCAAATCAGTTATTTTATATATCTCTTAATTTCTCTTAATATATAAGAGTAAATAAAAGAACAGTTCTGTCTATATAAATTACAGTAAATAAAGTTATAAATTCTTCACTGTTATTCTGATTAATATTTATTATATATTCAGATTTAAAAGTAATAATTAATATAATATATTTCAAAGTATGAATAAGTTTTAATAGAAATTCTTTTTCATTAAAGTTGTAAATATTATCAGATTTAATATTATATTATATGATTTTTATCTACAACTGTTAAATTAAATGAAATTAAATTAGTAAAATAATCATGATAAAGATAAAAAGATAATAAAAGTAATAAATTAAATACAAGATTAAAGTAATGCTTAAAATATATTAAATTATCAGCATTCTTATATTTTTAATTAATATTTTACAGATAAATCAATCTGATTACATTCTTATAATATTAATAGAACTATGACACTTAGTTAACTTTCACAAATAATTTTAGAATCTCAATAATAAAATTATGAAGAATTTAAAGTATATAAGAGAAACTGTGATCTGTTAATTAATTAATATGAAAAAGAAGTCATTCTTCTTGCAAATTTGAATGATTTTAACAGTGAGTAGATTGCTTTCTTTCTTGACATTTAAAGGTTATTATAGTGCTGTGATAATGTATGAGCTGATTCCATATTTTTTGCAGTTGTAGTGTAATTAGTAGTCAATTGCACATTCAAATCATCAATTACTGCTTGTATAGCTGATTCATGATCCATATTGTGAGTGTTTGAACATGGAGATTGAGGTAAGATTTGTGCGAGCGTTAGGCGTAAACGAGTGTTAGGTGGTTGATTATGTTAACCTCTGGTTATGAGAGCTTAGCAGAGATGTGTGCTCACTATCAGACAGTTATAGAGACAGACGGTGGCTATACAAGATATTATTATTATTATTATTATTATTATTAATTCCATGATGATGAGAACATGTCTTCAAACACAAGAATGCTATATATAATATACCCCATAATGATGGTTAGTATGCCATTAAAAATATTAGGCGGGCCCTAGCGAAAATAAAGGGGTTTACCAGTGTACCAACATAGTTCATTATCATTAGTCATGCATACTGATAAAAATAGACACAGGGGTTGTGTGTGTCAAGCCAAGCCACGGCTCCCTTTGCCGAGATATTATATCAATTCTCACAATTAAAGCCATGCGCCCCTACTGCAGATGCAGAAGAAGAAGACGAAGGTGAAGCAGAAGAGGCAGATTATTCCACGAACTTCCCCCGCCCAATATTCTCCTATCGAAGAAGACAACCATCACCGCCATTACCGACAGTACCTGCCGCCGTCACCGACCTATTCTCATTTTCACCTATTGTAGGCCCCGAGGCGTGGTCATTTGGGTCTGCAACGATGTACGGCATGGTGAGGTCGAAATTGGGTTTGGAGTTCGTGTCGCTGCCAGCATTATGACGGGGAGGCAATGACACTCGTTGATGGTGTGTTGTCGGCTGTGGAAGTGCATGAGTGGTGATGGTGGTAGGCATATATGCGGCCATTGGTTCGGTAGGGCTGTCTAGCATTGAAGACGCGGCAGATGTTGATGGGGAATGCGCAAGGGACGGCACCTGCGTGGTGCTTTGGCCGCTCGTTGTCGAGATGCTGGTAGAGCTGCGGTAGGCTATCGGGACGGGACGCGGATGGGTGGTGCCATTGTCGGCATTATTATTAGTAGTAGTATTCATAGCAGTCGTAGAGTTGTTGATGTTGTGATGAGTAGCGTTGTCGTCTGTAGTTTTGCAGTTGATGTTACTGCAGCTGCTTGTGACGCTGCTGGGAGGGTTTGTCGTTTGAAATAAGGACAGATAGCGGAATGCTTCTGTGGATGTCAGGGCATTGGTGGCCTGGTGGTTTATCTTTGGCTGCCATTTGGGGAGGTCCAGTCCTGAAGGGGGGTCTTCAAGGTCTTTCACGGGAATTTGGAGTGGAGAATTTGAGCATGATGCTGCCTGCGTGGGAGCTATTGGAGCAACAATGGCTTTGGGCGTGAACGGCGGGGATGCTGGCGGAGATCTTTTCGAGGAAGTCATATTGCGAGTTGTGAGGTGGGAGAGGTCTAGAGGTTTTGATGAATCTTTTCGACGGCAGCTGTAGCTATGAGGTTAGAGTCTGAGATGAAATGATATAGATGAAATGAGAGAGAGACGAAGGCGGCCTTTTCTGTCGAGGCACTTCAGGTCAGTAGGTGCTTGCTTATGCTTGTCTGTAAATACCTTTCACTACAGTAGAGAATTGAATCGCTTGGAATCATAATCTGTCTCTCACACGTGGGACTTGAGTCATTGTTAGCAAATTAACAAGACCGATTTAGTAAATAAGAGGAAGGAAAGGACGAGAAATGTATGGGCATATTTGCTTATAAACAGCTGGACCAGAGGAATATATAACCGGAACATACCAGAATTGAAGAAAAACCGTTGCCATGAAGGGATCTTGCTCGTCTTCCAGCACAACTCCTTGCTTAGCCGCGGCTGGCCTGGCGTTTAGCCGAAGAGCCCTTGGCGCCGAGGGGGCTGAAGTAGTAGTAGAAGTAGTGGTAGTAGTCCTGGTGACAAATTGTCGGGCAATTCGCTGGCCTTTTAGAGAAATAACAGTCTTCTTGACATTGTTGTATCCTGAGCAGACAAGCGGGTGTTTATGAGGAGAGGGGTGCAGAGGACAGAGCGAGGGGTTAGCGCATGGCTGATACAAGGCAGCGGGACGACGGCGTGGTGGATGTGGAGGGGGCATGAGGGCGGTGAGACTCCACTCGATTAGTGACTTCGACGGCGGCCGCTAGATTAGCCCTGTTGAAGATGTATTTGTGTCGTGAGATAATATACTACTCCGTATATGTGGATGTGTTGATTGGATGTAGAACTGTCGTCTTCAGGGGGTTGCTGCTGTTTGTTGTTGTTGTTTGGATATACAGTCCAGTGGTAGTTAAATATCAGACCAGAAAACCAAGACAGTCCTCCGTCCTCCGCAGTAGTTATATATGCTTTTCCTTTAAGTGCCCGCCGGGTCCTCTTACTTCTCGTCTTAACTTTTTGTTCTTCTTCTCTCTGCCTAATCTTGCTGGCCAAGGGCTCCTGCCGGGGTCCCCACAGCTTATCAAAGACGTGACAATTAGTGATGAAGGACATAAATATGTCTCTTTTTCTTTTTTTCGATCCTCGCCTTTCCCTCTCAGTTTTCGACGTCTTGTCTTTTATCTCTCCGCTCCCTGCGTGCAGCGAAATATATCCTTCACTGCTGATTCTATGTAACTTCACCAGCCAAACACTCATACAAACATGTACAGTCCAACGTATATACAACTTCTCCCATCTAACATAATCGGCCCGCTGGTATCCGAAGCCAAAACCACGGCCAGGAACAGGAACCGGATGTAATTGGCCAATCGGGCTTGTTGGCCGGGGTTCAGGCCGCCCTTCACCAACACTCACCAACAACGTGCTCGGTTAGGTTGGTTGCGAACAGCGGCCCAAGCGGGGAGCAGATCGCTTGCGGGGCCCGTAAGTTATATATCGTATGGATGTACTCCGTATTCCCGTCCGGGACCTAAACTTAAGGAATCAGTCCGGTTTGGTCTGGAAACCTGAAAGCTTCTCATCCGGTGGGGACATGGCGCCATAGCGCTTGATATCATGAGATATCATGATATGGCATGATCGAGGTGCTCACTGATGAATTACTTGTTCTTAGGGATGTCGCAATCAGAGGAGAGAAATTTGCAAATCTTTCGTTCTTGTTTCGCGCGTCCCTTCGTAAGTTTGTTTCTCGGATCTTGAGACTTGCGCTCGGCTGCATGGCGAATGATATGCGCTTCTGATAGACCCAAGAGTATGCATATAGATATATATATATACACTACGCAGAAACAAGGTTTGTCAAGGAAAGAAAACCCTCCTTTCTTTCTTCTCTTCTTTGTTCACGACACGATGATGATGATGATAGGAAGTCAAGTTCCAAAAACAAACGGTTCAGGAAGTGTATTGTATAGAAACAGCGCGCAATCCTCCCGTGCCGCCCTTCAACCCACATAGAGCGTAGTAGACATCAGACGGCACATTTTAGCGATGAGAGTATATATATATCCATCCACCTGTGTATGCCCTTATTAGGACAAACTACTCAAACTCTCCTGGAATATTTCGAGAAGAGAGGGGAAAAAAAGCCAGCCAAACTCGCCTCGCCCTCCGCCGGGTTCCGCAATTAAAACCTATTTAGAATAGCCTTCCGCTGTCAGATGAATGTTTTCCGTTTAAAGTTATTCGTGACGGCCGTTATTCTAGTTTCGAAATCTTCTTCTTACGAGTCAATATGGGCAGTAAGTTAAATTTGGCAAACAAAGGGATTTGATTCGGTGTAGGGACTTTTCCCTTTGGTATGTCGTTCACTTGCATCTTTTTTTTTTTTTTTTTTTTTTTTTTTTTTTTTTTTCACTTGCAAAATAATCACTTTAAAACTATTTTCTTCTGCTTTTGTGCTTGTATATGTAAAAGTGGTGTCGATTCACAGGGGAATATTGGAAGAGAACGGGATATCATTCAAAAGAAAAAAGAAAAAAAAAAATCTGTCTCCTCCTCGCCGTCTTTTTGAACCAATCAAAAGTTCGTGGTGGCAATTAGACACCAATTAAATGACACTAATTGTGATTCGCCCCCAGACGAGACGAGGAGGCATCAAACCACGAAAGCAAGAAGCAGTTGATATTTATTCCCCTCTCAGCTTACACCCCCTCCGCTCCACTCCCACTCCTACTCCCGCCTGCACTCCCCAAACTCCCCACACTGCCCCTTCCACCCCCACCACTACCGCCCCCGCCGTCTCCCACCGAAACCGCTGTCGGCGGTGGTGGAGCATTCGGCGCCAAGAACCTCTCCGGAACCCCTCTAGCGCCCACCCCGATAGGCCCTACAAAACATCCCAGCAACCCACTCCACGCATACCGATTTGCCAGCGTCTGGCGGATCTCGCGGTACGCGACGGCATTGGCGTAGGGGAGTTTTGTTTCTGGGTCGCGGTAGCGGGCTAGGCGGGAGGTTATGGGGCAGAGTTCTTGAGGGATTTCTATTTTTGGGTTAACATTTGTTTACAATTTGGCAATTTGATTATATTTATTTTACTTTGTTCATGTTGGATAAAGGAGGGGGGAAGAGCGGGGGAGAAGAACGGCTTACTTTGTAGCCTTTGGGGCTTGCGCGAGTTGAAGAATATGTTAAATTCTTCGCGTTCTTGTGGGGTTTTGTTTTCGAAATTTTCGAGGATTAGTAGGTTGCGGGATGAGTGTTCGATTGTTGGTGGTGGGGTAGGTATGGATGGTTGTGGTTGTTCTGGCTGTGGTTCTGGCTGCTGTTGTTCTGGTTGTGGCTGTTCTGGTGGTGGTTTTTCTAGTTGAGGTTCCTGTTGGGGAGTGAGCGGAGGTTGTGTGGGCGGTGATATTGATGTTGATTTTGACTGTGTCTGCTGGGCCTGGGGATTTTTATTATTCTCATCGACGTGTATGGCTACAGCTGGTGATTCGGGCTTTTTATCCCGTGGCTGCTGTGATAACGACGGTGATGGTGGGGCGGCCGCTGGGCTTCCTTCAGATCCAGTTTTCTGGACTTCTATGTCCGGGAACGACTTTTGGGACTGTTGATGCTCTGTTTTCGCTGACAGCAGTATGGGTTCCGATCCCTCCGGCGATGGTTCACAAGACTCTGGGGTCGTTTTAGTCGATATTCCTGTTTCTTCAAGTGGTGTTGCTTGAGAGTGTTTTGCCTGTGAAGGATGTTCAGGTACCGTAGTAGATGTTGATGGGGTAGGTTCTTGAGCTGCACACGGTATAGATGCTGGTGTTGATGCTGGTTGTGCCGGCATAGATGATGGTGCCTGGTTAGACGTTGCAGGGGCATGGGGTACATCATCCTTCATAGAAGCGTAGATATGAATCCCGTCCAAGAAGCTCCCTGGAGCTTGTGGCGGGTCAAAAATGACACCCTGCGGTTGGGCATCCTTCATCGTTTCCTGCGTTTGTCCCTCTACTACCGTCTTCCCAGCCTGATTATCAGGACTTTTATCGTGACCTGGTGGAATAGTTTTCTTTTTCTCATCTGCCCCTTCCGCAACTCTCTCCGTCTTCATGGACTTCGCCCTCTTTGGCGAATCATCCCTATCCTTGGCCCCTTTCCTCTTCCTCTCGACGTCCGGCGCTTGCTTAACTTCCTTCGCCCCCACCTGTGCCAGTTTCCCATTAATCCACTTCGCAAGCCCGCTCCACCAAGTCGTAACGGCCCCTGACAGCCTGCGATTCTGCAACGCGGCCAATTTCGCCTTTTGCTCCTCACTCCGCTTTCTTTCCATCTCCTCCCAACGATTAAGACTCTTGCTATTCAGCCGCTCCGTCTTTGCCGCCTCCGCCAACCGCTCTTCCTGTGTCATCACCTTTGGCTTCAACTTCTGCTTGCGCCTCGCCGCCTCCTCCATCGTCGCTATCAATCTCACCCGCTTCTCCTCACTATCCTTCAACCGCGCGTGAGTAAGCTCCTTATTCTGCATCGTCTGCCGTCTGGATGAGGATCGTGTCGGGCCATCCTCCGGCGTCGGCAGCCACGATATCCGCTCTGATTTCTTCTTCGGGCGCGGTGTAGGCGTTGTTGGACCAGTTATCGACTCCGTAGCGGCGGTCGGGCCAATTTTCACTCTCTTCCGCGACGCTGGAAACTTCATCATACTGTCATGCTCCTTCCGCTTCCTTGCCAGCCGCTCTGCCCTAGCCTGTCTTTCGAGTTCCCTTTCGCCTTCCAACTCATCCCCCGGCTCGTTAGGGCCCCGGTCATCTTCGTCATCAGATGAAGAATCGAGCTGCATGTCATCGGCTTCATCTTCGACACCTTCACCTTGTTCATCCTCCCCCGAGGCTCCTTCTTCCTCACCACTCGTGAATTCCTCATCATCTTCATCTTCCGCGAAAAGGAGGGCGAGTTCGTCGTCGGCTTCTGCGTCGAGGAGAGCACCCATGTTTCTGCCCGCAGTGCTTCGGCGGGCTCGTCCCTCCACAAGAGTCTCGATAGGCTCATCATCAGAGCTAGTGCTAGTGCCCGTCATTGGTGAGTCGTCTGTAGCCATGGTTGTGTTTGGAGGCGAGTGTGTATCGTAGGTAGTCAAGTCCGTTCGATGGATCGCGGCACGTTTTAATGGGAGGTGCAGGGCGTCTAGAGATATAACGACAGTGGAATATAACTTCCTATGAAAGAATGCTATGCCCAGGCACTTTTACGATCGGGGCGATGACATGCTAGGAGAGAGAGGAGACTCCGAGCTGATGGTGACACTTCGAGCAGCGACGTGTGAGTTGAGGAATACTCTACTAGGCCATTCCTACTGCGCCAATAGCTATCTAGGAGCTACCGCTAAGAATGAGGTGTTTTCTCTTTCGGCCAAGCAGCCAACAAACGTGTAGCGGGCATGCGAAGTGTTGCAGCTTTCTTGCCGCGACTTTGCAATGAAAGGTTTGCTTAGGTAAACAATTTCCCAAGAGTGGCTCGTGGCGCTCATACACGCCACCTTAACTTAAAGTTTGCGCCACAGAAGGTCGATCCTGTGAAAAGAAGAACGAAACGGGGTTGTTGGTTACAGGACGGCTGTTCCTTTTGGCCGCGAGGGAAACAAACAGATCTCTAAAAATAACTAATCTGTAGGTATCTACATGTACAGTACATCCACAGGGGACATTTACCTCGAGGCATGGCAATTGCATGGAAATATGCACCGAAAAACACAGTATGGGGCAGCATATGTATTCTTGTATCTTGCGCACGCTCAGGAATATCAATCAAAGTTGGCATATTTCTCCACAAGTCTTCTTCCCACGAATCCCACAAAACACATAAATGGTCGCCGCTTTTCCAAGGCATACTATGTGTTTTGACTCGCTGAAAAATGGCATGTTTCAAAAATACACTCGACGATCTGTGATTTGCAACCCGTATCTCCGCCACGGGCCAACAAAATCGACAACTCTATGTACGGATTATGCTTGCTACAAGATTTTGGACTGCTGAGTTTTGTAAGCGGTAAATAATAACGGGTATTCTGGACCATACCTAGGTGCATGTAGGATTCCTCATTCTCGCGGTGAGCTGACAGGGGTTGGTGGGAGAACGAATTTAATTTCCCTTCTTCCCTTGTAGGCGCTGCTTACTTTAGCCTACTTCGAAGGACTGCTATAGTCTTGAGCAGAAAACATGTTTCATGCACCAAAAAGCTGTGTGATTATTGGATGATGCTGTCCTCTTTCACGCATGCGAATGGATGCAACCTTTTTGTGGTCCTTTTTGTTTCACAGCAGAGACACCGGTTTTTTTTTTCGTTTTGGCTGTTCATTTTAAGTGATTTAGGGTCCGCGAATCTATGGCCAGCGCATATACATATGCTAATTGATGGAGGAGGCATGGCTCGGAATTATAGATTTTCGTCCAATTGTTGATACTGCGCTTGTGTGTTCCGAACTGCGGAGTTCCCTTCTATAGGGTTGGGCGATCTGGTAAACACCTGGCTAATGCACATGTTTAAAACTTGGATTGATGGCTGCAGGGACGTCAAGGCCGGGAATATCAAATGTGATGCACGCTGTCCTTTGGTCGAAAAAAAGTCATAGTAGCTGAGAGTAGAGAAAGTGGAACGACCCACGGGATGTTGGTTCGTTCTCGGGGGTGGAGTGGTGTATTTAAGTCATTGTTTTCTCTAGTCGAGCTAGGCACGAGGGCACAAAGACACTTGGACGTAGTTAGCTATTATAGACAGCAAACTGCCGTAAATGGGAATCAATGGGGCAAAGGACAAGAGAATTGTGGTTTTATGTCCAGCCTAAAGAGTACATGTAATTATGTACAGGTCTGATATCAAACCAAGGTCAGTCCTCTGCTAAACCGCGCTAAACCGCTTGTGGCCAGTTCAAACAGCTGCACCCAAGCCTCATCCTCCGTCGCCCGCATCCACTTTCACTTCCCTCTCTCTCCATCGCCGTCCTTCATCTTCAACTTCATCTTCAGCTTCGTCTCTTCTTCATCGCTTCTCTCCCCGCCTCTGGCGCCCCTTCGTCACCCTCCGCTGTCACCTATCCCATCTCTTCAGCCTACTCCTCATATCAACGCCTCCTCTTCTTTTCCATTCCCTTTTGTCTCCCTTCTTAGTAATTGGGCCCTCCCAAGTTAGCCCATTTCTTTGACCTCCACCACCACCCCTGACTGGTTCTTCTCTTCTTCGTCTCACATCTTCCACGCCTAGTTAAAATACTTGTTTTGCTCCCCCGAGCGAGCCTCACTCTATTTGTCCCTGAGACCACCACCCCCCTTTTAGAGTTCCTTCACGCCCAGTGTCTCGACGACATCTTTATCTCCTCTTTTTCACCAACTCCTGGTCTTTCTCGATAGATTTTTAATAAACTGGATATGTTTCTGTGAAGATTTCTCCGCCATTTCTCCGCCCTTACTCTACTTTTATTACACTACACGGCTACGAATCTTCCTTACTTAAAACGAAATCTGTATAATTACGACCTCATTGCACAGACCTCCGTTAGTGCTCTTCCCGTTCGACTTGTTGAAAACGACGATTCGATATCGACTCGTTCGTTCCTTCAACTTAACATCTTCGATTCAGTTCATTTATTCCTCACAATTCTCTATAACACCTTGAAAGGCCATTTGCCAATATACCTGCGACTCGCCCTTCCGACACAACACAACCTTAGCTTATTTCCGCCGCAGTTTGAATTGCTCGTCATCAAGTGCTGGAGGTTTATAATCGAGATATTTACATCCTCTTCAATACCAGCTTTAATAGACACTTGGATCGAAGGATCCGTTTCGGATTTCAACGAGATCTGCAGGCCTAATATATTGTCTATGATCTTCTCCACCCTTCGAGATCCTCCCGTTTCTATTCTATCCAACCCTTGGCAGCCCTATTCTTCTCAGAGAGAAGTTATAGATTTTGAAAGTAACCTTCTATCCTGGCATAAGACATCTTAATCTATAATGACTCCTTCATCGAGGCCTGATGGCCACCTCAACCTCAACTATCTTCCTGTTTCACAACCAATGTCCGGTACTTCAACGGGAAGCTCGTCGCCAAATGAACAACCGGGTTCAAGTTCTATGAAGTCTTCCTTTGGAGGTTCAAATGGGTTAAACAGCACTGGAGGAGCTCTTGGAAGCGCCAGAATGGGGGCTGGTTCCCCTTCTCATGATCTTGGCGCTCGTTTGTTCTCCAAGAGGTAAGGCTCTATCTAATTTTATGTTAGTGCTTATCAGAGCTCTCGCTGACATTGGTCCTATTTCACCCTTCGTTTAATAATAGAGCTCGAGAGATTCAGGCTCAAGAAGGTCTTGCTCCAAATATCTGGGGACCTCCAACCAGTGGCAACTCGACGCCTCTTCGCGAGAACATACCGGAATCCCCAAGCCAGGATGAATTCCCGGACTTGGCGCCTGCGCCCGAGAGCAGCCTCACTAGCCCTGCCCGTCGAACGAGAGCGGGGACAGTTCCTTCCCGTTTCTCTCCAGTTGGCACACTGAACGGTGTTGGCCCTCAGTCGTTCACCTCAAAAACATCCAGACCCACGCCTTCAACAAGCCCGTTCCGCCCTCATGCCGTGGCAGGGATAGACTCCTCTAGCAGACCGCCTGCCCCTGGAAGCGGAAGCAATACAGCCTTGCTTTCACGCCTTCGTGCCGGGTCCATGCCACAACGTACAAGTGTGCTTGATGGTTCGAATCCGTTTGGGCCTTCTTTATTTTCCACCAACTGGTCGTCAGGTAGGGAGAGAGCAACTACTTTAACGAGCATCAGATCATCCGAGGGGCCCACGTCACCAGCGCAGTCGTCGTTTTCAAGAGATGGGCTCGCGGATGCGGACGTTAAGACCTTGGACTACCTTGGGCTTGCTGAAACTCCACAGCAAGCCCGAGTACAACTTGTCCGCCCATCCGTCGACCAGCTCATGCAACAACAACAACAGCAACAACAGCAGCAGCAGCAACAAACATCATCCTTACCTCCCCTTCTTGCTGACCTAGTAATGATAAATAAAAATTCCAATCGGTTCCGCTCCTACTCTGTAAATGCCAAGGAGAAATACGCCGAAGACGACGAGGATCAATATGAACTTCCGTATCCGGGTGTTCCATCGGGGTCGATAACACCTTCAGCCGCTGCAACTGCTGCCCAGTTAGCTGCGACCCAGGCACAGATTCATCAACACAACTTAGCCGTGCAAGCATTTGCCAACCATGCATCTGTGAGCCGCCCACGCCCACGTGCCCGTACTGCCGGCGTTTTGGATACTCCTCCTCAGCGCTCATCGATCCGCAACTACCTTGCGACTCCGTCTAGACTTGATAACAGCCTTAGCATTGCAGACTTACGTATTTCGGAGACTGCCGAATATGACGATCTCCCAGAAGCAGTTCAGGTGTTGCAACTGGGCGGAATGCAAAGCTTGCGACAAGGCCAGGAAATGGTGGATGAAACTAATCTAGACGGTCCTACCAGAGCATTGTGGATTGGTAGCATTCCAGTCTCAACAACAGTGACTTCTCTGGACGCTATCTTCAATGTGTATGGCAAAATCGAGTCGACAAGGGTTCTGACCCACAAGAACTGCGGATTCGTTAATTTCGAACGTGTAGAAAGTGCTATTCAAGCCAATTCCCTTCTGAATGGCAAAGAAATATTTCCAGGTGCTGGACCCGTCCGGATCGGCTATGCGAAGGTGCCAGGGACATCTGGTACGGGTACTCCCGGCCAAAATGGTGACCACCAATCGCCCACTCCTGACCCAACTTCCAGCGGCTTAGGTCGGGGTGGAACTAATTCAGGTGGACAAGATGGGACTTCCGGAACGGACCAAGCAAACGGACCTGCTCCCAACACACCAACTATTCCACAGTTGGTTGAATTGCAACCAGAAATGACCCAAATCGTTGCCGAATTTGATGCATCCGAAGAAGAATGTCAAAATATTACAGCGAGCATTCAGCGAGCTGTGGTTTTCAAGTCATTTGTCGATGAAATTCCTCCGATTCCAGAACCAAGTCAAACTCGGGTCCATGACGCCCCTAGACTCCGGGATATTCGAAAGCGGATTGACAATGGGACTCTTGCAGTGAATGAAATCGAGGAGACAGCAATCGGGATGCTTCCTGAGATTGCTGAATTGTCTTCCGATTATCTTGGCAACACGGTTGTCCAGAAGCTGTTCGAATATTGCTCAGAACCCACCAAAGAAAAGATGTTGGCTGAAATCGCTCCTCACCTTGCTGAAATTGGTGTACACAAGAATGGAACCTGGGCTGCACAGAAGATTATCGACGTTGCCAAGGACTCGACGCAGAAACAGATGATTGTAGAAAGTCTTCGTCCATACACTGTGCCGCTGTTTTTAGATCAATATGGCAACTACGTGCTGCAATGTTGTTTGCGCTTTGGTCCTCCTTATACCGACTTTATTTTCGAATCTATGCTCAGTCGGATGTGGGAGATCGCCCAAGGCAGATTTGGTGCCCGCGCTATGCGGGCTTGTTTGGAGAGTCACCATGCAACGAAGGACCAACAGCGAATGCTAGCCGCAGCTATCGCCCTACATAGCGTCCAGTTGGCGACAAATGCAAACGGTGCTCTCTTACTTACTTGGTTCCTCGATACATGCACGTTTCCACGTCGACGAACTGTTCTCGCCCCGCGCCTTGTTCCCCATCTTGTCCATCTTTGCACTCACAAAGTTGCGTATTTGACGGTACTCAAGGTTATTAACCAGAGGAACGAACCCGAAGCTCGCGAAACAGTACTAAAAGCTCTGTTCTACAGTTCTGGAGATGAAACTTTGGAGAAAATCCTCAGCGACCAGACATCTGGCGCGACATTAATATTTAAAGTTCTTACAACACCCTTCTTTGACGAGAGCATGCGCGGCGAAGTCGTCAAGACTGTCGCAAAAGTACTAACGAAATTGAAGACTACACCAAGCCAAGGCTATAAACGACTTATGGACGAGGTTGGACTGTCCTCCCGGGGCGGAGGAAACTCTCGGGATAATCATCATTCCAGGGACAACCAAAACGCCCAAAATCCTAATAATGAAAAGAATCAACACCGACCCTTATCATCTAGACAAACGAGCGCCAACAGTTACAATTCTCAGTCGCAACCAGAGAGACAATACAGTGGACAGTTTGCAACAGGACTACAGCCTCAGCAGTCCTTTGATTCCCCAACTACAATGGCACGATCTATTTCATCGGAGCAGACTCTTCCTCCTTATGACATTTACGGGATGGGTGGAGTGAATGGTGTCAACGGACTCGTGAATTTGTCTTCTATGAGCAACAATCACCCGTTTCCCCAGGAATCAGTCCTCCCCATCAATCAGCAACAGCTCCAATACCACGCATTCCTCGCCTCGCAACCCCGTGGTATGTCTCCTGGTGGATTTTATGCCCCTCAGATGGCAGGGGCGAGCTTCAATGGCTTCCCGTCTGCTCCAGCTGCTCTGGACAGCTTTCGAACCATGCAGTCGCACTCGTCGCCCCTCCCCGGGCCTCCTCCGCAGATAAGCGCAAGTCCAATGCTTCATCAGCCCCCATTTGCTCCTCCTCCGTTCAACCAGGCTGTGAATAATGCTCAGATGTATCCATCCTACCCCCAACAGTTCTACCAATCCCAAGCCGCCCAGGTTCCACCGCCTGGCGGACGCCGTGGACGTGTAAGTGGCCTTCCGTCGCCGTTCGACCCGAATGCGCACCATGCATTTCTCTCTCCCTCTTTTCCTCTCCCGAATTATGGATTATACTGACTTGATTTTTTTGCTCTAATAGAGATGAAGCAAAAGAGATTGTGCAAAAAGGAAGAATGAAGAATATGTCGGGATTCTGTTTTGGAGGAGTTCTTAGTTCATCTCCCCTTTTCCCTTATCTTCCCCTGCTCTTCCTCCCAACCTTTTTTTTTTTTTTTTTTTTTTTTTGCATCTGTAAAATTTTTCTGGTACCAGAGATCACCCTCTTTCCCTTGAGATATATGAGATGGCTTGCAAAAGAAAAACGAAAAAAAAGCTATGAGATCTCTCGCCAACCCTTCCCTTCAATGCTGGATCGTTGAGGGCTGTAAGATGACGACTCGGGTCTGCAGGGTGAAACTGTTTTTTTCCTTTCAGTTGGTCCCCCTACAGTTGCCATTTGCGCATCCTCGTCTCCCCTAAAAAGATATTTGTATGGTGTTACTGTGCTTGTATTCTCTTTATTTTTCTTTCAAAGCATCCTTTCCTGTTTTTTTTCTTTCTTTTTGTATTCCTTTTACTTTTTCGCTCTTCTCTTCTTAAATATATTATTATCTTACCTTCTTCTTCCCTGTTTTTGATTCTTAAAACCCAACTCACAAATTACCAAATCCTCAGAAGAATACCTTTTTTTCTCAGAAGTTTCTCTTATTGAAAAGATACGACTGTTTCCTTGTCAAATTACATCAGCAACGTTTCTTTCCCTTTTTCCTGTTTGTTATGGGCTCAAAACTTACTCGTGTACTGTCTCTGCCATTATATCGCGTTCTACTTATTTTTCCCATGCTCTGTGTGTGTGTGTGTGTGTGCATGTATGTATGTGTGTAGAAGGAGGAGAGAGAGAGGATGTTGTTTACTTCTATCTATTTTTATGTATCTGCTTATATATTTATTACTTTATTTAACTTTGTTTTGCATATTTTCCTTGTCCTCTCTTGAGACAAAGTTATCTTCTCTACATGTCAGATCTGTGTTAACAACAAACAACTGATCTTTGTTTCAAAAGGTACTTCTTTTTTCTTTTTCCTTGTACCTTTTCTCTCTCTTTTTTTATCTTCGGGGCCGCTTAACTTTCTTCTTATTACGTTTCTAATACATACTGATTCTACATTTCTATGTTTTCACCTCTTTTATTCCTTTCTAGGCTCAGATTAAACAATATCCAGTGGGTATGTAAGAGCAGGTTAGTGGCATCATCTGTGTGTGTGTGTGTGTGTGTGTGTGTGTGTGTTCATGAGGATTTTCAGACAGGCATGCCTAGCACTAACCTGTATGATATGTATGAAACACAATACGGCAGATAAAAGAGCTTATCAGTTTTAAGTACTTTTGCGTGTTTGTAGTGCTCTTCTGTATGTAGCTTGCTCTTTTATTGCTTGCCTCTTATAACGAATTTCAGGTCTCTTTTTGAATGGAAAAATTCCAGTTCTTTTTCTCTCTCAACTCATAATTATCTTCTCAGTTTTTTCTTCAATATTCTCTTTTTTGCCTCAACTTCATTGGCTTTGTTTAACAGTTTCATAGGTTAGAGTTACTTCCTTTCATTTTTCAATTTAATTTTAACCTTTTTGATTGCTCAATTTGCTGTATTTGTAACAACACTTCTCCCTTTCTCACCACCTCAATAGTATATGTATGTGAACAATCAAAAACTAAGGAGTTGAAAATCACAACGAAGACATTAAGAGTCGTGTTTTTACTAAAAAGGGCATATGAGGTGAAAGGTATTTCTAAAAGAATTTGATATTTTGCGTATTCTTGTCGAGGTCTATACTCCGTACCTTGCTCGGTCCGAGTGTTGGGTGGATGGAGGATGCTATTGTTTGTCTTGCCTGACATGAAGTTTTATCTCTTCATTTCAAGTTTTGTTACATATAGATATTGGGTATGTGTATTTATTATATACACCCCCCCGGGCTCTCTCCTCCCTACCTAGTATTACTATTACTATTATCATTATCATTATCATTCCATTTCTCTCACCAGGGCACCATCCTAGCATTATAGTCCCAACCATGCAAGCCCCCTCTATCTACTACCCCTTGTGAATCCCGGTCGATATTGACAGCGGTTCCAATCCCTCTGAGTAACACATCTGTTAGATTCTAATGAAGCAAGGGGCCAACATAAAGTAACTCACTCACTCACTCACTCAAAGATTATTTGCAGGAGCGTAGTCAACCTTATATTTGGACCAGCTATGCAACCGACCAAGCAAAGAGGAGAACATAATCGCTTTGCTGGCCGTGGTGAAATGTAGCGTTAGCGTGCGGCATGTCTACATATTTTGGATAGAAGTAGTTAGCTTTGTTCAATAGATTGCCTATGGCTAAGGATATGGGTAGTAGAAAAACAGAAAAAGGATGGGAATGGGAATGGTATGGGTATTCTTACATCCCCGGCCTCCCAAACATCTACAATCCTCTCGAGCCCTGGATCAATACACTGTCCGACTAACGCGCGAAGTGAACCTATATCAACATCCATATCGACGTCTCTAATACTGATGATTCGCGTAGCGTCTCCCTCTCGGGTAGAAGTAGTAGCTTCGAAACTTGTCGAAGAAGGCTGTCTAGATCTGGGACTGTCCCCCCTTGCTCCTGCCGGGTTCTTACTGTGCATATTCTCGTCGTGCTGCGGAGAATAAAACTTCCGCTGCTGGTAGTCTTGCGGAATGGTATGAGATGTACCAATTCTCGGCGATCCACTAACGCTGAGCTGATTTTGTTGCGGTAGCATCAGCTCCTCTTGTTGTTGTTGATGATGATGATGATGACGACGAGAATGATGATATTGTGCTGGATTCGATCTATATCTGTGACGCGACAGATTCTCCCCATCCTTAACAGCCCATTTGCTCGTGTCCAAACCGCCGGCACCGGATGCCTTGCCGACTTTCTCAAAGGTGTCCACTAGAAGCTGGCATAGGTTGACGTTTGTATCCTGGTCGAGGAGAGGTTGCTGGGACGAGGGCGCCACAGTGATGGTTGATTCTCTCATGTCTCGCTCTCTGGCTTGCTCACTTGGTGCTGATGGAGCTTTGTACGGATTTTGGTTCTCCATTTTTGTGAGATCTTCTCGGTGAGATTTTGCGGTGTTGGGGGGTGAGTACGTTGAGAAGAGTTGATTGAGAATGGAAATGGTTTGGCGGGTGGATAATACGGGGGAATCGGTTGCGGGGGAGGAAAACGTGGAAATGGAGGGAACTGCCTTCCGCTGCAGATAAACGTGTCGCAAAAGTATAGATATATATATGTAAGATATCATGTAGCAATCCAGAATATCGCTGGCCTTTAGCAGAACGTCCCTTTTCCCCTTCGGACAAGGAATGTTTGGTACCCAGCCAGCTACGCTGGCAGATGAACCTTGATGTCTACTATAGCTCTGGAGCTCACGCCTGCCGCAAAACAGAATCCATGCATAAGGGACTTAAGAGAAAACCTTGATCATGGCTTGGCATTGGGAGAAAGAGTATAAATGTATATGTGTATAATAGGGCATAGCTGGCTGTGGTATAAAGTTAAGGCCAGAGCTTGTTTCCACTTGCCATTGTTCGTAAAGCAAAAAGGGAGCCTTTTTCTGACAGCATAGAGGACAAAAATCCAAAGTGCACAATTGCTCATTAAAAAGGAGGGTATATCATGGACAAATCTAATTACCTATATCTCCAAGAACGGGATGCGGGGCTGGTATCATTGAAAAAATATAGGAATGGAAGGGAAAAGAGAAATAACGCCTAATGGTATATGCCAGACGCCATATGCCAGATGCGAGATGCTAGTGGCAATAGCATCTCTCCAATTATCATCAGAGCCCAGGAACAGGGAGGGAAACAACAACAACTTATAAAGCTTGAGTGGTGGTATAGAGTACGGATTGAGAAAACAAAACGAAAATGAGAAGGGTATGAAGAAAAAAAAAAAAAGGGGGGGGGGGAATGGTAGCCGTTAATAAATTCAATACCCGGCAGGAACAGGGAGCGATTCCCAGTTCTTCTGCCCCTTCTCAGGATTAGCCACCATGACTTGCAGTCCACGGCGACCACAGAAGCCTCCAGTCCCGGCCTTGCGCTTAACCATTTCGTAGGAGCCCCCGTTCGCACCCTTGGGAACCCAGACTTTTTCCTCCACGTCTGTTCCCGCTACTTCGGCCCGACGAGGGTTGAACCTAGGCATACCAGCAATTGTGTTTACTATAGCATGTACCAGGGAATAAAGCCTTTCAAATCTTCGAGTGACGCCAAGCCATGCCAAAGTTTGCGTGTCGTATGCAACTCGAACGTACGGATTCATGTATATGCCTGTGTCGACGATGAGTTCGTCCTTGGATTCATATGGTGGTTTTTGGATATCTGCGTGGATCAGGCAACATTCGGAGGCGTCCCAGTAGAGGTCTGGCTCTGCGCGGAATCTCGCCGGTAACGAGGTGCTGGGGGTTGGAGATGTTGGAGCCACTTCGTCGTCATCCCTCTGCCTCCGCGCTTGATGCTGCCCAGCTGGTTCGGATTTCCCCTGCTGGAAAAACTTCGCATCAAATGCAACCATCCCTCCCCAGCAACTCCTCACTCGGACCGCGTCCTTTTGATCGAGCACATCATGCCGGCTCTCAGCTTTCCCTGCGCTGGAAAACCACGGGTAGAAAGGAACGCCCATCGAGAAACCTTCCAGATCCCTCGTGGCGAAGGTATCATAAAATTTAAAAGGGTTAATGAAATCAACAGCGCAGGCCGCACGGTATTGTGGTGTGCCTCTTTCGTCCATATTTGTAGAGAAGAGCAATTGCAGTGCGTCAATGGGATCAAAAACAACATCGTTAAGGTATAGTAGCTTATCGAACCGATCGCTGGCTGGGTCATCCAGGGGCCGGAGTGCTCGGTTTCGAGCCTCTGCTAGATAAGCTATCCGTTTGATGCGCTCCGAGCCATCTGCAAGGGTGACATGGGGTACCGCATCTATATCCATGCGCTCCTCATACCCAATTGATCGCTTGCATTGGACTTTCGCTTCAAATTCCTTGAGCGCGGCTTCACCCTCCGGACCGCTGTTGCTTTCATATATGCTTAAAAATACATTATCATTCCCTAATAACCTTATAAGCTCAAGGACATTTTCTCCCCATCTACCACGTGCAAGCTCGCCATCTCTATCATATAAACTAGCCGCAATGAACACCTTTTCGTTTCGAGAGTTCCCTTTACCTGGATCTTTTGAGTTTAACACCGTATGGCGGAGGATATTATAATGGGCGGGAGGATGGCTATAAGACGGGCGGATGATAGAGGTAAGGAATGCGAGAGTGAGAATTATTCCAGAGGATGCCAAGCAAACGAAACACAGACGGCGAAGCGTAAGGCGACGACGAAATGCGGAATGTTTGTTTTTCTTCCAGGCAGTCTGTCCTAATCGACGGCCTCGAGGGGGATGCCGCCGTCCGACAAAGGGGAGGAGGGAGAGTAGGCGGGATATTAGAGGAGGGCGCGTGTTTCGGTAGCTACGGCTGGTAGTAGGATGGTGTGATTCGAAATCGGCAGCATCGAGATCGAAGCTATCTCGGGAATCAAAAGACGAACGGCTGTGGAGTTCATATTCATCTGGATGAAGAGGCCGGGAAGACATTGCTGGACGCGAAAATGGCGCTTGGGGTAAGGTCTGAAATAATGCGGGCTCCGGCCAGCGCGGGAGGATGAGGTGCGATAAGTTAAATAACTCAAGCTTTAGTTAACTAACTAGTTTGCCAAGGAACATTCTTAAATATTTAACGAAGACAGACCGACCAGCGTACTCCGTACTGTGTATAACAAGTAACCCGCCCAAGATTCAACAGTTCTCTTTCTTCTATTCTATGTCGTTGAAACCAGTGGATAATTTGCGAATGAGGCGGAATTCTCCGTTGACATCTTCATTAAAACTCCATTTTCTCATCCTGGCCCCCTGCCGTACTCCTGATTTCGTATTTCGTATGTCGAGTCGGTCCCCTCTTATCCAATTACTTACTGAGTCAACTGTTCATGCCAAAATTTTCGCTGAACATTACAAATGCATAAACTACCTTCTCGGCTAAATGTCTCAGGAATGGCCACCGTGATAAGTCTAAAACAAAAAAAACTTGGGGGTTCGCAGGATCCAGTTAGCTCAAACTGTTCGTCGTAGAGCTCGAATAGCACCCCACATGAATGCATGATCTACCCAGCTCTGCCCAGACATGCAACATATATATGCAAAGGGAGTGAAGTTAGTCGATATATAAAAAGCTAGCCATCCCCCAAACATTTCCAGTTATCACCAAATATACTGCGCTGGAGGTTACATGAATATTTGAAGTACTTTGTTTCCACGCTCGCCCGAAGCCCCTTCTTAAATACTCAACCAAACCGTTTATCATCGTTTCCTGCCCCGCCCGCTCTATACAACCACAGCCCACTCACTAAAAAGCAAAAGCATGTCCGATTTCAAATTCACAAACTCAACCCAACCCCTCCCCTCCGCTGCAGACCTGAAAGGCGAGTTCGTCGTCATCGCCAACCCCTCCACCGACATCTGGGCCAAACCCCCCTCCACCCACCGCTTCAACGGACCCATCCTCCACAAGACAAGCCCCCTATCTTCCTTCCAAAGAGCCAGCGTACACATCTATGGCGAATGGATCACTCTCTACGACCAGGGTGGCTTAATCCTCGTCATGAATGGTGCCAGTGGCTCTCGGCAATGGATCAAGGCTGGCATCGAGTATGTCGACGGTAAAGCGTATATCAGTGTCGTGGGGAAGGATCAGTGGGCGGACTGGAGTTTGATGCCGCTGCCGGCGTCTGGGAATGAGGAGGCGGGTGCTGGCGCGAGGATTGAGATGGTTAGGGAGAAGGATGTGTCTTTGTGGATTTATTTGGTAGAGGGCGGGGAGAGGAGGCGGATTCGGCAGGTTAATTGGGCGTTTGTGGATGAGGGGATCAAGGAGTGTTGGGTTGGGGTGTATGCGGCGAGGCCGGCGAAGGTAGGGGGGGAACTTGCGGTTGCTTTTAAGGAGCTGGAGATTGAGCTTTCGGGTTGAATTTCTTTTTTTGATGTGGATGGGCTTTTCTGCTATATAGGGATAGGGGAAATGGGGCTTTATTAGATATCTGTTTTTTTTATATTTTTTTTATCGTGGTTTACGATGTGATATATGGCGGAATGGGACAAGGTTATATATAGTTTAACCTGTACTCCATATGATATCCCATATCCCCCTACACCGGGGACCGCGTTGCAACCTACTTCTTGAGGTGGAGGCTTTATTGGCAACACAGTTCACGGCACCCAGTTCATTGTGACATATGTACTGGTAGGTCTGAAAGGAGAGCAAGTACGCTCACCAAATTCGTGCCTTGTAGTAGAAGTCTCGGATATAGCAATTCCTCGGGCACAACGAATAATCGACTCAGGCTGAATATTACCCTGTTACTGAGGGGTTAGAACTGATAGTGATTATCAGCAGCTCAATGCTTCTGAAGTAGGCTGATTGACTATATATATCAGTTGTCTTAGAGAGCGAGCTCTGATTTCTTATATCTAACATCATTAGAGGCGCGCAAGGTCAATACAATAACCACCTCCACGGCCTAATAATAAATTGTTACGTCATCGGGCACAAAGGTCTCGGGAACGGACGTTAAGGGATAATAATGACATATGGTACGAAGCAGTGGATCCATAGATAAGCCCATGATGCTCCATCCCCCGCGTGTGACGACCGGCTGTCAAGCTTAGTAGATAGATAGTCCAGAGGAGAGGGGGCTCTGAGAAGTGGAGACATTTCGTTCAGTAACAGTGGCAGATGAATTCGAATGAAGAGAGGGACCAAAATCCTATGTATGAGATGGTTTATGTGATACCCGCCTGAGACAGTAGGTTAGATAAATTTACATACTTCCATATTTCCCTTTCTATCATAGCGTTGAGAAAAGCAGATTATCTGATTGTTTCTCTTAGATTATCAGATCCGAGTCTTACCGAGATCAATCTGGCCGGTTGCGGAACACGATGAAAAATAGATCAGTGCTAGGCCTAACTAGGCTAGCGTACAAGGCTAAAAGAGTCGTGGCGGCCATCAGCCAATAAAATCAGGTGGCATCTTACTTAATTAGGAATGGCGCATCGTGCGGGTGACTGCTCCCGGCCCTTGTGACAGATCTTATCATTATCTGATCATCTGGCGTCGCATCGGCTGCCCATGGCTTGCTTTAGCCGCCTCCCGACTTCCCGAACGGTCTCCTGTCTGCTTGCTGACGCTGCGGTTTGCTCGCTCTCCCAAACAAAATCCAGCCTATGTCCTGTCCTGTGTGTCCGTCTCTACGCAGTCTATCTCATTATTGGCCGGCTAACGTGTTAACTCACAAGCCAGTTACACGTCACAGTTGAGAGACGCTGGGCTAGCTCGTACCCTGCTAATGGCTGGCATGGTCTCAATTTTGAGTCCGACTGATTCTTGCTGCCACCCTCCTTGCACGCTGTTACGCATGCCTATTCTGCTCTGTTGATGAATTTGTTTAGATCGGCGAGATCTGCTTGAAAATATTTTCCTTCTTTCTTTTTCTCTTTCCAGCCTCTTTTATTCTGATTCTGTTCTCGTTTTGCTGTGATTCTGCAGCACCCTTTTTTCCCGCATTTTGCTCGGAACAACGGCACCCCAAAACATCAAGCTTGTAAAACGGATCATATTGCCTTGATAAACAGCAACATAAGTCTTCATCTCGTGGCTATTTAAGATTTTTTCTCAACGGTCACTCTTCCATACCGATCCTCGTTGTTTCGCAATACCCTGGTCTTTAACAGATTGAAATGGTTGTTACGGATTAACGAACGGACTCCCGAACTTCCTACCCCTCCCTCCCGCTGCAAATAACGAATACTACCTTGCGCACCCTTCCTAACTACAACCCATTTTCTCTCTCATCTTACTTTCCAATCTGGCGTCGCGATTAGGGAATCCGCTATCTCCCAACGGATCCCATGCCCCGCTCTATGGGTCAACAGCTGACCTCGGCCAAGTCTTACGGCGCATGCGAATCCCAACCTACAATGGAAACAGAGGACGAGGATGCGAGTCTGCTATACGCAGAGCCTATGCAAGTACCAGAAGACGACGATGATGGGGATGCTACCGATTGCGATGGCCATGGTGGCCGAAGTCCTGGTGAGGGATATTCTTCCTCGTCATCGGATTCTGTACAAGAGGGCGTACGCAAGATTGAGGCCATTAGCAAAACGTGGACGCAGAAGTCATTGATAATTGCATATATTGGGTATGTTCATTCAGTCTTTTATATTTGTTGATTCTTGGATGGTGCATGTTTGGTTCTTCTGGCTAGGCGCCGCTTCTTCGACGACACCTACTTTGTCATCCCCTTTCTTGTCGAGCATCCCACTTGCTTCTTATAAAACCTCGCTAATATAGCTAAGGATCTTTTTGATGGCATTCTCAACCTCCCTAGAAGGCCAGACAGTTTTATCTCTGTCGGCCTATGCCACGAGTTCCTTCAGCAAGCATTCTTTAATATCAACAGTTTTGGTTGTCCAGAATGTAGTTAACGGTAAAAACCCTTTCAGCTTTGGGAGTATTTACGGGATCTTGGACTAACACGCCCTACAGCTGTTGTTAAACCTCCGATGGCGAAAGTTGCAGATGTATTCGGGCGATTCGAAGCATTTTGCATAGCCATTTCAATATACGTCCTTGGATATGCCCAAATGGCAGCATCAACAAATGTACAGGCGTATGCATCGGCACAGCTATTTTACTCCGCTGGCTCAACAGGGTTGCAAATCCTCCAGCAGGTCTTCATTGCGGATAGCAGCTCTTTACTTAACCGAGCGCTTTTCTCCAGCTTGCCTGATCTACCATTCTTGGCTACCGTGTGGATAGGGCCAATGATCGCGGCTGCCATCCTCCGCGAAACTTCCTGGCGTTGGGGATATGGGATGTGGACAATTATCCTGCCCGCGGCATTTCTTCCTTTGGCCTTGTCTCTTTTCCTGAACCAGAAGAAGGCTAGAAGATTAAAGCTTCTCAAACCCAGGCCTTGGAAAGGACATAGTTTTTCTACTATAGTCAAAAAGACTTGGTACGACCTCGACGTTTTTGGTTTATTACTACTCTCAGCGGGGGTAGCTCTCATTTTGGTTCCCCTAACGTTGGCGGCAAATGCGAAAGACACATGGAAAAACAGCAGTATCATTACCATGATAGTCATTGGAGGAGTTTGTCTTATTGTATTCCCCTTCTGGGAAACCTCGAAGCGGCTGGCTCCGCACCCTCTTCTCTCACTTCACCTCCTCAAGCAGAGAACAGCTCTTGCCGGCTGTGCCCTTGCTTTCTTCTATTTTAGTAAGCGCTTCCCAGTTATTTTGATCTTCATCTCGGCTCTTACTAACTTATTGGCCCAGTGGCGTTTTATTGCTCTGTGCAGCCTTATCTCTACTCCTACCTTCAAGTTGTCCAAGGTCAATCCGTCACTACAGCCGGTCGAGTAACGCAAACCTTCTCGTTTACATCAACAATATCTGCCGTATCCGTTTCGTTTTTCATAAAAGCAACAAGACGATACCGTGGTTTCATCACCGCAGGTTGCTGCATCTACATAACTGGCCTTGTCCTCATGCTCTTCTTTAATAAAGAAGGCGCCTCCACTCTGGCCACCTTTATCATCCAAACCGTCATCGGACTAGGTGCAGGCCTCCTCAACGTTCCCGTCCAACTAGGTGTCCAGGCATCTGCAAGCCATCAAGAAGTGGCTGCAGCCACGGCCATGTTCCTCACATCGCTAGAAATGGGTGGCGCAGTGGGATCAGCCATTTCGGGGGCCGTGTGGACTAGCGCTATTCCGAAGAAATTGGCCCTGTACCTCCCCGCTGAGAGCCAGGGGGATGCAAAGGAGATCTTCGGCAAACTTACCAAGGCGCTTTCGTATCCGCTGGGTTCAGCAACAAGGATCGCTATCAACCGTGCCTACGACGAGACGTTCCGCAGAATTCTGACGATTGCTGTTTGTATAACTATTCCACTTATTCCCCTCAGTTTGCTCATGGTGGACTACAAGTTGGATAAGGTGGGTAGTGTTATAATTCCTTCATCCACTCCTTCCCTCCAAGTGCTTCTTGGACTAATTGAACCAACCAACAGATGGACTCTCACGTAAAAAGCGAAGCACTGAGGCATAACGACGAAGGGGATGGGCTGATCTCTCATCGGACGTACTCTCAAAGGCCCGGTTCCAGCTCGCGTCGAACGTAGTATTTATCATGAAAATTGCTAGAAACTTGGCTACATTCACGACAAACGCGCCGAACATGTCATCTACAAAATACGCCTCTTTTTACTATGTTCACAAAACGCGCACCCACACCTCTCACTCGTATATATATCTAGCAATGCCCTTGCTAGAACGAATAACGAATAACGACAAATCCATAAGTGCATCTGGGGCTTCTTAATATTTTCTCTTTGCACTTATCAGATTTTTACCATGCCATATACACCCATACTCTATCAAACCTACTATCAAACAACTTCTGGCCCATCTTACTCATTTACACACCAAAACTTAACATTGTTGAATGTTGAGTGTTTCGTGCTTGGGTTTTAACTTCTATTTTTTCTAATGATGATAAAACTGTATGATCATGAAAGATATCTAGATATCCTTCAGGGTGTCCATTCTCCACTTTCTTTCACTTGGTTTACACATTTAGGATCTTTTTATGTATAAACTACCGGTATATAGATGACAGAATAAAGGAGGGACTTTTTACCTGAACAAAAAACCAGGACTCTTGAACCTAGAAGAGCATAATTTTCTGAATAATGCATTTCTTCGCTGGTCTATCAACTCTGGCATGAGGTTGCTCAGGGAAGGTATATTATGTAGATGTAGAATATTGAAAGAAGATTGGTAGATATCAGAAGAGATTAACCTGTCAAAATATATAATCAATTGACCATGTCTTGGGAAATGAAATCTGAGGCTGACGACGGGTTGTGGAAACCCTATGATAGGCTCCATCTTCCATTTTATGAATGGTAAATGTGCATTCTGTGGTTGTATCATTGATGAAGATTTCATCTATCTCTATAGGAGTTGTATAATACAGTATATACTTTAATATTGCCCTTTAAGTGGGATTGAGAGGAGATGCCAAAAATATGTAAATGATTAGGCCGGGCTGTTAGTTGTTCACTACTTCTTCAAACCCCTTCCTTTATGATCCAGTCGAACGTTTCCTTGATTCCCATTATATCCTTTCGCCCTATCAGATGAGAGGATTAATGAAAGATTGGCCGAAGATCCTCTTTCCCCTGTTACACTCTGCTAAACACGATGGGCTGCATATTTCCGTCAGGAAACAAATTCTTCTTCTTGTTGTTCTTCTTCCTCTGTCTCTCCTGTATCCCTATTCCCCCCTTGGAAGCCAGGACACTCTCCTCCTCAAACCATACGCCCTCATCTAATGATGTTTCATATTCCAGATATATCCTGGCCGTTACCTGGCGCATAATAGCCCACGCGACGCTATTTTGAATACCCGGCAAATCAAGAGTTAGTCTTGAATCATTAATAGATAGGTATAATATAAAAAACTAGTATGAACGGCCCACGTGTAGCATGTCGATGAATTCGCTGATAGTTCTGAGTTTGCTATAACGGAAAAAAAAAAAGAAACGAAAGAAAGAAATGAAATCATATGCTTTACATACCTCATTCCCGTACACATCCGCTGTCCATAGCCAAACGGGATAAGCATTCGCTGCATCTGGCGGTGCGCTGGGGACGTAATGGGCACTTGCCAGCGTTCAGGGTCCCAGACGTCTGGGTTGGGAAATGTCTCTGGGTCCCGATGGAGCGTGTATGGTTGGATGGAGATTATGGTCTGGAGATGTGAATATTAATTAATTAATATTGCCTTGGCTTGGGAAAGGGGGGGAGGGGGAAGTCTGCTATTATTATCGTTTATTTTGAAAAGCTTACCCCTGGATCTATCTTCATACCCAATACGGAAACGTCCTGGTCCTTAGTTTTCACTAGCCTTGGGAGACTGAAGGGGATTGGCGGGCTGATGCGCAGTGTCTCCCGTAAAATCCCATTTAGGTATGGGAGGGTTTGTAGCTGTGATAGGGGGATGTGTTCCGTAGATGCAGTAGGGGGGGTTCCACTGGTGAAGGCCTGGAGTTCCTGGCGAAGTTTGTCTTGGTGGTGTTTGTTTTCTGGGAGGGAAAGGTGATAGAGTAGTGCGGAGAGGAAATCGGCGGTTGTGGTGGTGCCTGAGGTATTAGTTAGCACCACGATACAGAAAAGTACCGGTTTGGAGGCGCATTTCCGGGAAATTACTCACCACCTGAGAAGTGATCCAAAGTATCGCTGGCAATGTAATTGATGTTCGGAATGGCTGGGCTGGGGCCATTCTTTTTGAAAAGGCGAAGGAGATGTTGGAGGTGGGTATTTGCCTTCCCTTCATCGTCATTCGATTGTGGAGGCAGCAGGGCCTTGAGGGATTCTTGCACCAAAATCATGCCGAATTTGGCCAGGTTTGGTCCTTGGTTGAGCAACGGCGATAAGAGTTTCATGATGGGGACTTAACCATTAGTATCAATATCAGGAAGGGTGAGTCCCCATCCACCGGAAGCAGCTTACTTACGGGGAAGCCATTGGAAAACAGCTGCCAACGGGCTGGCTACTAGTTCCAATGTTGGGGTTAGGAGTTCATTCATCTGAGCTCTTGAGTCGGAGTTGGTCAGTAGATTGAGTGATCTTTCAGGTCCGTACGTCAACCCAATCATAATATCAGCAGTTAACCACCTCATCATAGGAAACATATCAACAGTCCAGGAAGATGGCTGGCCTGGACTTGCTCCCACTTTAATCTCATTCATGAATGTGTCAATAGTCGTTCTGATGTGGGCCTGGAAAGCTGGTGATGCAGCAGCCGGGCTCGAATATAAGCCAGCCACATTTTTCCTGCGAAGTAAATGTAATTCTGCGTCAACGGTGCTTACTACGTTTGACGAGCCATACCGCTCAAAAAACCAAACAAGATCAGTGGTGTCCAGTCCCCCCCGGGGTCCCGTGTAAATATCCTTTATGGCATCTGGATGGCAGAAGGAGACCATTTTCGGGGAAAGCTGAACAATTGGACCATAGTTTCGATGGGCACGATGAGTCGCGTTCAGAATCCCGTCTGTTTTTAGGAGTCGGGGTGTTATCAAATTGGGCATGGCTAGCGGAATTGTGCTGTGGGGTCACAAAACGCACCTCGCAATTCATGCCATCTGAACCACCATTGGGTGAACTTGGCTAATTTCGGTCCGGGGAAGGGAGAGTTGATGACGCGATACATTGAACAACACACGTTCGGGATCATCAACAATAGTATAGATATCGCAATTAATGACCACCCAAGGTTAAATTGGGAGGGCGGATTCGTGAGGAGCCTAGTTATAATGGACATAGCAGTGAACGTCTATTTCATGTGTTCCTGACAGAATAACCGCAACGCAGAGATCGCATCAGCTGGGAGGAATTTAGTCGAGCCTGGCGAGCTGGTTAAAAGTGTTTCTTGAACCGGTTGAATATGCCTCTGGTTATTTCAAAACCGAACCGAAGCAGCTGCCGATCTTGCAGGCTGTCCATGTGGCTGTGATTCCTGCAAACAATTATCCCCATATGGCGAACCTCCAGAACATGAAGGTCGTATACTGGTTTTGTTCTAGCCAAATCGGGGCATTTCTGGAGAAGCCTCATGCTTCATCTTTGATTGCTCATATTACATCATAGCTCGTCGTTGGGCGAAAGAAGGAATTTTTGCGTCCAAGTCATATTGTTTTGAAATCCCCAAAAGCAGCATAAAGCTGGAAAGATTGGAAAGATGATGCTGGCGGAGTCCAGTGGGCCGGGCGGGCGGGCGGCATTTGTCACCCAAGCAGCAACATTGATGCGCTTGCTAAGACGGCGCTAAAAATAAGCGCCAGCCTTAAATCTGTGACGTTGTGGGGCGAACGTTTGGTTGCACAGTCTGAAGTTCTGAACAACATCATTGCAAGTCTGCAACATGACATGGACCCCAAATGCCCGAAACACTTCTGGCCAGGATACCACGTATTCCTGTTCAGCCACCTTTAGATACCCGCAGGTTTATATGCAGAAATAGCTGATGTGCCAATTTCGGCATCTTTCACAGCTCTCCCCAAAAAGGGATAATATAATCAATACGCGTATTCAGCTACTCCATGATTGCCCTCTGGGGAGACCAATAATGTTGTTTCTTGAGGGCTGTGATCGAATTTCCATGTGTTTGGAAACTCAATATAACTAACTGTACGCAGGTATAAATTGTTCAATGCGCCTCGAGTTATTTGGATTTTCGTTCTCCATTTACATGCTCGTTCTGATCCATCCCATCCCTGAATCCAACATTTGCGATCATCTCAAATTTTATATACAAATATATACCTTTGGTATATGTTATTTTCATTTTCCCCATTTATGCGAATTGCCTAAAGCATTTCCTTGACCTATACGCCCTGTTATACTCTATGCACAAAATAAAGATCAATCATCCGCAACCACGTCAGCCAATCACCTCCTCCTCTGTGCGTCGCACATGCAAGCCATGAACAACAACATGGCTTACATGCCGACGCCAATTCGCTCTGTACATGTCATTAAGGAGGATAGTTGGACTCGCCGCAGTTACAAAATAACTACCCTAGATGACCTCTCCTGCCTTTACACAGTTGACACCTCTGACGGGGCCCCACAAGTGACATTGACGCGACATCTTCAGCCAATCCCATACACTCGACAGGCCTCTTCCATATCGAGGCTCTCGGGACAGTTTTCTCTATCGGGCCTCCTGGGACAATCTCGACATCATCAACAACAACAGACCGGGCAGTCTAGCAATAACTACGTCGTCGGAACAGCGAACTTCCATATTACCGTCTCATCGAAAATCGACATTCACCTCAGCACCAACCAAACCATCACCATGAAGCGGCCAGACTCGTTCTCCTCCAAGCGCAGGTTTGAGAGCCTGACACCACTTGGCACGTTGGAATGGAAGAGTGGGGGTGGCGCCCTGGGGAGTCTCGTTACCAGTGATCTTAAACTAGTGGACATGAGTGGGCGTACAGTTGCGCGGTACCAGAAACACTCATCGTTGCTGTCCGGGCGAAGTGATGAGATTACGTTGTTTGTGCCAGAGTTAGCTGGATTTCTTGACATTGTAATCATTACATGCATCGCCACGATTGAGTATAGAAAGCTGGAGGAGGAGATTGTAACTGAGGCAGCTGATAATATATGAATGTGCGGGTACCGATAGGGCCAGAAGGTACTGTTGTGGTTATTTTGGCTCTATTACATTGTCATGTTTCATTTCTTACTTATGTCTAACTTCCTTTCCTTTCTGCCCTCATTTTGTTTGTATCTAGTTCGCATCTGGCCTGGAGCCTTCATAGCCCCCCCCCTCCCCCCCCCTCCGGCTCTTTCACTGTGGGTACTCTATTTTTAATTCCTATTTACCAACCATGAGTTTTCACAATATCAAAATGGCAATGAATTATCAAAGCCATTATTGTATTAGACTGTGAGAACATGTATGAGTGGCTTTTGAAAGAAATTTGGCTGAAGCTGAGCCTGAAGACACAGCTGGTAACCTGTGTCTTAGACATGTAAAAATCAGCCCTGATTGAAACACAGCAAATCAGACAAGGAAAATAGAGGGGAAAAAACAAAATAAGTAAGTAAATTAAATAAAACAAACTAATAATCATGATTGGAAAAATTTACAATAAAAGAAGATCGTTGAGTCATCAATTTGTGTCCAAGACAATGTCTATTCAATCTGTAATCATATTGAGCCTCATTGTAATGATATTGTGAAATGATCAATTGCAGCAAAATTACACATTATCACCCACTGTGAATCTATGCTTCACACAGTGATGCAAGCATTTTGATAATTAAAATTTTGTCACAAATGTTCATGAAAAATGGGAGAACTTGCAGTGTTGTTCCCATTTCGCTGTCATTTAGCTAGCACATACACGCATACCCCGTTAGCAACTGGCTAAGAGAAGGTGATCTTCATCGGAGGAGAGCCAGCGGTGAGCTCCCCACGAATGCAGCCTACATTGTAGTTTTGAAATCGCGCTAATATTCTTTCTCAATGAATTTCATGATGGGTTTTGACTGACTCTAGTCAGCAGTAGTACTCTGTAAGCGATCGGCTAATGGAGCTCTAGAGAATGGAGAGAGCCCATGGGCCAAACTTGGCCCGCGCGGCAACAACATATATGTAACTAGGTCATGTCAGTTACTGCTTCAACTGCTTTTGAATCTCTAACTATGACTATGGCAATCTTACTCCTGATGCCAGGGAAACTCTGGCACTGGGCAAAACGAACGAATGAATCGTTCATGACAGTTTTTATATTGATATTGCACAACATACCAGGCCGGCGGCTGGGAAAATCTGAGGTACAGAGAATACCGCTCAAAACTGGGCTTCATCTCCTTGAAGCCTTCTTGGTTATTCGATTCTTCTTGGTTCCATCAAATTTCAGGCGTTGTGTCTCTGTTATGGATCCGGCGTAGTGAAACATAGGCCGCCGAACTGTTAAAAGCGTCCTCGTTAGAACCAAAAACCAAGTTCCCTGAAGTCGGAGGGCATTCATGGAGGTTAGGTTCGAATACATCTAACCCCTACGGAGTATAGAGATTCAAGGATACATCAGAGTGGTTACTGCGTGCGTGGCTATGACCTCTTTGTAAACTCGGAGAATGAACAGTAACTAGCCTGACCATAATTCCCAAAATTAGATATACAAGATTGAATAACTAGAAGTAGTGAAAATAAATTTACTGAAGAAGTCCTGAAGAATGTACAGCTCATCTAGAGCATGTAGAGAGCTGATTAAGAAGAGAAATACAGATTGAAGCTGCAGGGGAATCAACACACTTGAAGTACATGTATTGTATTTGGAGATGAAAATCTTTGAGAATAGAATTTATTCTCTTTAATACTTTTTATATTAGATTACACAGTCTGTCAACAAGTCGATTATTTAATGTCTGAATACAAGTGCTTGCTTTTTTTTTTTTTTTTTTTTTTTTTTTGTTTGTTTTTTTGGGGGGTAATTCAGCCACAAACTTCGATGGGCCAACTGTTGCTCGCGTGGCTAGCGAAAAATGTATCTTGTTATTACTGCGTACAGCGTAGGAAACTGGTAACAAGGGGTAATAAGTGTTGTTAATGAAACTGAACAACTCCTTAAACTCTTCAATCAAGACGCTAGAAACCGATTGAGTCAAGCAAGGGCAAGGGTAAGGCTGACAAGTTACAACTCCTACCACTATTATTGACTTAGTTTTGTTCTTAGTCAAGTTGGGAGAGTGTTAACTAAGGAATCGACCGCCTGGAAGTTTATCAGGATAGTGTAAATGTCGCTCTGGAATAATTAACCACCCCCTCAAACCGTGCCTGTTCTTGCAGCATCAGAAACGCAGGCTGAAACGGCAGATGAAACATTATTAAATGAATAGAGAATGGTTGAGACAAGGGAAAAAGGGTTCAATAATGAACAGCCAACAGGCCTACAACCGCAAGCTAGACGCTTTTAACCAACACCGATGATTACTGGGCTTTAAATATAGAATTTAGTAACCCCGTAAAGCCCTCTTTTCTCACATTCGCTTTTTCCTATTTTAAAGCCCTGCTGTGCGTGGAGCTAGAAGGCTGATGCCCCATGCCAGTGCTCACCATCCTTTGGTTAGTTGAATGTTGGAAAGGAAATGGTATTTCTTCCATCCCTATAAAAAAAAACCAACAGGTTGGGGGTTCAACAGTACATACTATCCCTTGTCCCGCGCCACTAGCCACTTGGACGAGCGCATTATTGAACCAGCATACGGAGTAGAGTAGAGGGGCCATCCGGTGGCCGGTTGCTTGATCGATGGGAAGCTAGAGAGGTAGTTAGCGATGCCGGTGGAACAGGGAGGTAAACTTACATGAAGACTTTAATAAAATATATACAGGAAATCCCTGATGATTATTAACTACTCCTGTGAATTTCTTGCTCGATGAGACCCGGCGACTTTCCTTTTTTTTTTTTTTTGGAGAGATTTCGACTAAGAGCCCAGTAAATCAGCGAATGTAATAAATCAAAATATCCCTGAAGCCCAGGAACAGCGAAACAGGCAACGACAGGCGCCTTGTGTAGTCGGGAGATACCACTATCACATCTAGGGCCTCAGTCAGGGTGATAGCAGCCCCGGATTAATTGAGCCCTAAGATGGGCGATGCCGGTCCACGGGCATTTGCAGTTGACCTCAGCGGTACTTGGCATGTTGGTAGGGATCCTAGGCTTATTTAGTTGAGGTACCAGCCAAGTCACGACCCTAGAATTAGAAACACCAAAGCCAGCCAGATATTTAATAAAACAGGATTAAAGCAATTGGGCACTGTAGAACACTTCTTAACCCATCACTACCCCTCACACTGCACTGCTATCCAGCTTTCACTCTCCTAGTGTTGATCGAGAATTGTTCACTTGGTGTTGTCCGTCGTCTTGTCTGGTGTTCTGTTAACTACTGGCCCGTTCCTCTGTTCGGGCTTGGTCGCATCCCCTTGCCCATCGCCGTCTCAACCTCACCTCTTCTCCTCCCTCCTCTCCATCACTCCCGCACCTATCTACTACTACTCCTCCACCAACACCGCTTCTTCCCAGCTAGTGCGTGCTTCGTCGACTTCTGCCCTCTCAGAACTGGCAGTCAAACCTCGCAAGGGGTTTCTCCTGTCCCTGTGGGCGCGTTGCTGCTGTTCGTGATCCCGCCTATTCTCTTCTCTCCAAAGGTCGGTCTAGCCAACACAACCCGCTATACCTACCCCTTGCTTATCTACCCGGCTCTGGGAGTTCTCATTTAATTCTATCCTCTACGGCAGTCTTCCAAATAGATGTTTGGATCGCTAACTTGTAGTATTATTGGTTCTGGTACAGCCCGCTGTCTTCTTGCTTACCTACGATCGAACCCCCCCCGAATTTCTGCTCGCGCTCCTTCATATCCTCCCTCTGACCATTTCACCGCGAGAATTCCGCTCTTCTACCTGTTCCTATTTACTATTAAACGGCTCCTTTGACGCTCCGTCCACGTCAAGCTCTCCTCTCCCTCGCGAATCGCCTATCCCACGCTCTCCCTTACATCCTTCACATCAACAAGCGGTATACCTGCAAGAGCTTACTAGAGCTTTACCATCTAACTGGAATTCAAAATGGTTGTGGCTACTATCAAGTATGTAGTTCTAGTTCCTATGGCGTGACCTCATACAAGAAATTGGTTGCTGTCAGATGACGATAGCGAAAAATTCAATACTGACCAGTTCTCTCGAAACTACAGGTGTGTTGTCGTTGGAGACGGTGCAGTCGGCAAGACATGTCTACTGATTTCGTACACCACCAACAAGTTCCCCTCTGAATACGTCCCGACCGTCTTCGATAACTATGCGGTTACAGTGATGTAAGTTGTGTGACGTCCCCTTCATGTTCACACCACATCAGCCATGTGTGCCGGTCGTGTGGCACTTTAGCACCTCGCGCAAGAACCCAACTACTAGGTTCTCATACTTGGTTTATATGTTTTGCGTATTCATATTTTACCGAAAGAAGAATCCAGCCAAAATTTTACTTCCCTTTTGCTAATCTGATATCTCAATTGATAATTGTAGGATCGGAGACGAGCCATATACCCTAGGACTTTTCGACACAGCCGGACAAGAAGATTATGACCGTCTACGGCCTTTATCATATCCGCAGACCGATGTGTTCCTTGTCTGTTTCTCCGTCACATCGCCTGCTTCCTTCGAGAACGTCCGCGAGAAATGGTTCCCTGAGGTCCATCACCATTGCCCGGGGGTTCCGTGCCTGATCGTAGGGACCCAGACCGATTTGCGCGACGACCCAAGCGTACGAGAGAAGTTAGCAAAGCAGAAGATGCAGCCCGTACGAAAGGAGGACGGCGACCGCATGGCAAAGGAACTGGGAGCAGTCAAATACGTGGAGTGCTCTGCCCTAACTCAATACAAACTCAAGGACGTGTTCGATGAGGTTAGTCGAACCCCTTTGCCCCTAAGATACATCTAACCAATACGAATGTCTAACTTTTTTGGGGTTTAACCCAACTTAGGCAATTGTCGCCGCGCTAGAACCGATCCCCAAAAAGAAGTCGAAGTGTACTATCTTCTAAGGTTTCATTCAAGCCGCAATGATACAAAATAAATAGACCTCTGCACACTATGAAATTCTAGTTTGGCCCATTCGCTGTTTCGCTGCTAGGCGTCCTGGATCTGGTCATATAGCTACATACACAATTCCCAAATATACCGTATGAGGGAGACCTGCATCTGATGGATGATTTGAATGGCGAAATTTAAAAGCAAACAGAAAACAAAAGAGAAAAAAAAAGGTCGATATATTTTATCATCCAAATTAGGTCGCGGAAAAAGGCATATCACATATCAGAGAGCAAAGCAGACTAACAAGTAAAGATTCATCTCAGCCGATGTTTCAGATCGCGATATTTCTTTTCCTCTCTTTCTTTCCATGCTTCTTTTTTCTTTCTGTGCAAAACGATTTCCTCCCCTTTTATTATTGTCAGTCGTCCCGGCCTCCTTATCTGATTTACGGTTTTAGCTACTTCAGACTTGTCTGCACGTTTTAACGATTTGATTTTCTTTCTTTTTTCACTCCCTCTGAGCTTATTTTTGTTGCAACAAGACACATTTATTCGCCGGTGCACATTTTTTTCCACCATTTCATACTTTACTCCATTCATGCTGGAATGTTTATTACTTAACTCACTGAGCTGCTTTCAAAATGTAGCTGAGGCTGCGTTTATTTGCCCTTGTCCATGCCATGCCCACTCCTGCCCACTCCCCCCCGTTTCTTCCTTTTCCTTATGAGGGATAGCGAGAGAGAAAGAACCCTAAGCCCTCTCTTGCTTCTAATTTTAATCCCCATTTCTTTCCCGGAGTTTTATATTAATTAAGCTGCGGTTTGAAAAAAGAAAAAAGAAAAAAGAAAAAAGAAAAAATTAAATTTTTATTCCTTTTTTTTAAAAAATATTTTTCCCTCTTTCTTCTCTTACATCCATCTGCCTCCATGTCCCTACTAACTTTTCAGACTAACATAAGAAGTTCATCAGCAAGATGTTATATCAATCAGCTAACATTTACCTCGTACTATTTATTGCTTACTATGCACTGAATTACTCGCTCTTGTCCGAGATTCATCTCTCCTCTGTCATCACGTCTTCCTAAATATTTGGAAGACTTATTAATGATGTCATTGTCCCTGTTTGTTCTCTCCTTTCTCATTTTTACTTTTCCCTTATTTTCTTCTTTAATACACATACATGGGATTCCATCCAATCTTTCCATTTTTCCAATATTTCGATTTTCATCCCGCCGCTATGATGATGATGATGATGATGATGATGGAAGACTAAATATAAGAACAAACCCCCGCCCTGCTGCAGGTCTCGATTGATTCCCTCGCACTCGCGGGGCATATCGCAAGTATACGAAGCACATATCGCAAAATGCTGGAAAATTACTCAAAATAAAAACGATATTCACGTCCTTCCTTAATAACATCGATTTTCTATCGAGAACTATAACGTTAAGCATTCGAGTTTGCCCATGCCTCTGATCGGGGACATATATGGACTGGCATTCGTGGGATTGCCGGACTGCGACTTGGGCAGCAGACCAGACCATAGGAGCCATTTAACATAGCTATATATGAGTAGTCAAATATGACCTACACGGGTCTCATTAAATACATGATGAAAAAAAAAAAAAAAAAAAAAAAAAAAAAAAAAAAAAAAAAAAAAAAAAAAAAAAAATTAAAAAAAAAAAAGGTTTGACGAAAATTCTCTACTCCACCCGTTACCATGAGATCTTCCTGAATTCAAAGTTGATCATTTGTAGGCGTTCTTGTTGCCCACAATTGTGTTTGTTGGAGGTAGAGATTCGGACTGCTCAGCATTTGCACATGATTGGTTTCCTTCTGTGAAACATGCAACATTGGAAATATGCAGATTGATTGCAGTAAATAAAGGATTAATCTCAAGGTTTATTGACGGCGGTCGCCACTGTGATTGCACCCTCGCTGCGTCTCCCTCGCGTGGTTACAGGAACATACTCATTAGACGAAGTATATGTCCCCCGCCTGTCTGTTTATTTCCACAAGAGATATCTCTCCTTATTCGCCTCCTAGATGAAAATAGGTTTCTACTCAGATTTAACTCTCCTCTGGGCCGGAAGTAAACCAGGTGCTTTTCGCAGGGCGTTGCCTTCTCAAAATGAATTTTGGGTGGTGATTATGCTTTTAATCGAGTTTACACCTACGTTCCGTGAACTAGGATAGTTATCTATTACGAAACTTTGGAAACTAACTAGTTATTAACTATACGGAATATTGATCCGTTAGTTTTAAACAGTCGTGCCTGTTTTTAGGAGTATATGTACCGATGGTATACTACATCTTCAATGACGTGATTCAATGAAAACTATACGAATGAGAGAGTGGGTTCCGTGGCGCATGCGTGTTCATAAAATTTTATTTCAATGAAATGGAAAAAGGTTGCTACTAGGCTTTGGGATTGCGATCATCCGACTGGCGATCAAAATATCATTCCTCGACACGGTGGCTTCCATGATAGCATTTCACTAGGTTTCATTCAGCAGGATATCAAACACCTCAAAGCTCATCCCGTTTTCTATCCCCCACCTTCTCCTCTTTCTCCCCATACCACCCACCCACATCCTCCTTAGCACCCAGCTTGACCATACTAGTAATAATCTCAAACGCAGCCTGGGCAGCTGCGAGAGCCGTAACCTCCCCAGCGGTATCATAACTGGGCGAAACCTCCACAATATCAGCGCCCACAAGGTTCAGCTTCTCGATTCCACGCAGGATCCGAATCAGCTCGCGCGTGGTCCACCCGCCGGGTTCCGGCGTACCGGTTCCAGGAGCAATACCCGGATCCAGCACGTCGATGTCAAGACTCAGGTAGACGGGCTCATCTGGCGAAAGCCCGACGCGCGATATGATGGTGTCGATAACTCCCTTCGGCCCGATGTCGTCAATATCGTCTGCATGGATGCGCAGGAACCCCTGCTCGGGCCCCGGATTGGAATAGTCGCCATCATCCAGGCCGGTCAGGCGGGTGCGGAGACCAGCATGTGCGGAGCTGGTGTTGGAGATTAGCCCTTCGCGGCTAGCTGTGTGGAAAAAGCTACCATGGTTGAAGCGTGATTGGTCGGATGTCCAGTGAGTGGAGTATCGAGTCGGGTTCCAGGTATCAAGGTGCGCATCAAAGTGCAGGACTGTGATTGGTTTTCCGTAAATCTTATACAAGGCACGTAGGGCCGGTAGGGTGATGCTGTGGTCACCACCTAGTGCGACAATCCTGGGTTTTCCGCGCGATATGCCTGAGATGGGATTTGGAGCTTTGCGCGTGCCTAGTTCCAGAAAGGCTTCATACATCTGCCGTTCTGCCACGGCATTGTCGAATGGCATAACGGGGACATCGCCGCAGTCAATAATGCGCGCCCAGTTCAGATAGGGGTTGATGGCAGCGCGGGTGTTGTAGCTATTTCCTGGGAGCTGACGAGCGCTTGCGGCGCGGATGGCGCGGGGCCCAAAACGGGCTCCTGGGCGGTAGGAGACAGAAGTGTCGAAGGGAACCCCAAGAACAGCGATGTCGTATTGCTCGTCAGGCTCGATGAGGCATTTTACGTGCTTGAGATGGGCGAAGGTCGAAACCCCAGAAAAGCTCCACTGACAAGATGATTTTTTAAGATTAGAACAGGTCCCAGCGGAGGTAATTGCGCGAAGGCAGAATGGACAGGCGTATAATTACCTCCTGATCCCATTTCTTCAGGAGCTCTTCTCTGCGTTTGATTGGGATCTCCTCATTGTCATGATGCTCGTGTCCATCATGTGCATTGACAGAGCTTATATGAAGGAGCAACCCAGCTAGGATGCTTGTCCAGCCTCGAAGCAACATTTTGTGTGTCTCAAGCTGCAGATGCTACAGTTTCCTCTGCAGATACTGGAAAGGGACGAGAAAGCTGGACGCCATGACAACAGAGAGCTGGCCTACATTGCTTGTATTGCCCCCCTCTCGCGATGGGAAGCCGAGGAGAGCGGCAAACAGCGTCTCCGATTGGAAGGTTAGCCGTCGCGGGAGTGGGAGGGGGGAGTGCCGAGCATGAGCATGAGTCAGCAATCGGAGTGCTAACTAGTTATCCTATCTGAATGCGTATGCAAACACTAATATGTACTGTACATCAATCATAGGAAGTTTTGTTGCTTGTTCATTGCCAGGTTATTTAGGTAGGTTTAGACATCTGAATGCTGTATGCTCTTGGATCCTTCACTAACCAAACCCGTTGGGAGCAGCATATCACGCCGTGGCACCCGTCCAGCCTAGTGATTAGTGCATTTTCTTCGTGAGATTGCGACCTCGTCGTGCGCGAAGCCTGTTAACTAGCTCTTCGGTCCTGCTTGGTTCAGGAGGATTCTCATTAGGGTGTAAAAGTGCCAATTCTACTGTTCTTGTATCAGGTGAGGCCGAGGTCGTATTCCTGTTCTCATATTTAGAAGGGGACGGGACGGCTTCAGAGTAAGTAAACCAATCACCGTGATTGAGTTGAATATGGCATGACACAAAAGGCCTCATACTCATGGTTCCAGGGCTTTTCATCATGGAGATGCTGCAGGACGGGAAGCCTTCATTGGGAAAACTAGGTGGTGGTAAATGGCTAGCTCCCGCACAGGTTGCACTCTACAGTCTACTACTATACGAGGCTGGTCAATGGGGAAATCTCCGTCCTCTGCCTTAAGAGAAAGAGTTTTCTTTTACACGGACACTTGGAGAACATTCCTATTTTTGATTTGTAATTGGTTTGTGTTTGTAATCATTCCGTCTGACTACCCCGCAGTGCAGTGCAGTGGGGAGAAGGAATTCGCGCGTCTAAAGTATTATTGTTGGGATGCAGCTCATCACCGAACTCAATCCAGGGACAAATCAGCAATCAGGTTGATGGAGGCGTATGGAATGTAACTACTGTGACTTAACTATCTGCCATCCAAGCTGCCTAGTTCGAGTGCATCTCATTGTATGAAGGCCAGGAGAATAACTCCCCTGTACAAGACTGCATCTCTCCGTATAAGTTATTCACCGCTCTCTATTAATAATATGAATTAGTAAAAACTACAATGCGCTTGAATCCTTCCTTCAAAGAGTTGCACCGCAATCTCATCCAGTGTTGTTCGGCGCGATCAATTGTCCCGGCTGAAACCTCGGCCGCTGCTATAAATAAGAACCACTCTCTGTCCGTTCCCAGGTCGAACAACAATCTTCACCATTCCTCATCGCTCCCCATAATCTCATTTCCAGGAAATCCTCTCACCACCAGCACCAGCACTACCACTACCACCTTTCCAACATGCCTCTCAGCACTTACGATGCCAGCATTGGGCTGCTCCTCAACGGCCTTAACACCCTCAATACAATCCTCGCTAAAGCCGAAGAACATGCCAAAGCCAAGGAACTCAACGTCGATGACTATGTTCCAGCCAAGCTGTACGAAGACATGTTTGCCCTCGATTTTCAGGTATACATGGCTGTTGATACCGCAACAAAGTGCGTCGCCCGCCTGCTTGGCACTGAACCAGTAGAGTGGAAGAGGGAAGAGACATCCTTCGCAGCCCTCCAGAAAAAAACAACCGATGCCATCGAAGTCCTCAAGAAGGTGGATCCCGAGGCGGTTGAAGGCAAAGAGGCCAATACCGTCACGATGGTCATCGGGGCTGGCAAAACCAAGACCCTCCCCGGAAAGGAATACATCACCTCCTACTCGGTTCCGAACTTCTTCTTCCATCTGCAGATTGCATACGCCATCCTACGACTCAAAGGAGTTCCCGTGGGCAAGCTTGACTACCTATCTTCGTTCTCCTCGTGAAAAAAAAAAAAAAAAAAAAAAAAAAAAAAAAAAAAGACGACCACAGTGGAGATAAGTTTGGCCCTGGGCTGGAGGAGGTTCCCGACCCATGGGCGGCAGGTCTCAGCATGAGATATGACGGAATGGGAATTGTCCTAAAAATTGCATGGAAGATGGAAGCTGAGAATATAAATAAATTAACTATACTTTAACTACATGATATAAATCAATTCAAACCCTTTTATTGTATTCGTGAATTGTTGCTCAACACGTTGCCAGAAGAGACATCCATCGAAAATCCTACCTGTGTAATTTTGTGTACATGTATGTACAGTACATTACATACTATACTAACTTACCTACGGACCGAGTTCCCATGTATGTTTTGCATATCCCCCGATCGATGTCACATGTTTTCCACAAATTACACGATGAATCTCGCTAGCTATATAACTAATAAACGCCAAAAATAGCGCCTCCAGGCTCTGGCGCTCTATCACCAGATCAGATCTGATCGAACCTTCGGCTCTTTTAAGCGCGCTAGCTGTCTTATCCCTTGCGCAATTCCCGACGAAATGATGAATGAATAATAATAGTAACATCGTCCTTTTATAAACATTTTTCGTCGCTGGTACCCTTAGAACCAACGACCAGCGCATGCCAGAGCAGCGGTGCCATGCGCCGGGTCGTAGTTACAGGGCTGGGCGCAGTCTCTCCACTCGGCATCGGTGAGTTAGTTCCCTGACTTTTAATTTTGCTTTTGGCGTTTCCCGTTTTGGTGGTTTAGAACGCAAACGAAGCATTGGAAATATTCCCCCATTGTGTTCGTGTCCATATCCTGAATATTCCCCTCCCCCCCCCCTCCCGCTGTTAGGTGTACGACGAACGTGGAAGCGGCTTCTAGATGGCCACTGTGGCGTCGTTTCGGTGAAAGACCGGGATCCGAGATATGCAGATCTGCCTTGCCAGATTGCTGCGCTGGTCCCTCAAGGTCAGAAGAGTGATGGTGGCTGGAGAGTATCGGATTGGTTAAGCCGTGATGTATGTTGTGGCCCCGATTCTATTCTCTCATAATTTGGCTTTGTATGTCACTGATTTTTTCTTCTTGATATTTTTTTTTTTTTTTTGGCTACAGGTGGAGAGGAAAACAGCAAAATTTACACAATATGCCCTAGTCGCCACTGAGGAGGCTCTGGCAGATGCGGGCTGGAAGCCTACCAGCCGTGAGCAGAAGGAAATGACAGTGAGGAATACCGTGCATCGTCACTACTGCGCCAGCGGAAGTAGCCCGTTAACTTCTGCATAGGGCGTATGTTTAGGTTCTGGCATTGGCAACTTCGATGAGATTTACGATACGTCTCTCAGTTATGATAAAGGGGTATGTATACACATAATTGCTAGGACTAGTTACGCCAAGCTATATATCAAAATTCTTCTCATTGTGTTTGTTAACCTTTCATAAATGCGTCTAGGGCTACAGAAAAATTTCCCCCCTCTTCGTCCCCAAGCTCCTCATTAACCTGGGGGCCGGACACATCTCGATGAAATATGGATTCTCGGTACGTGGTTACATGAGAATAAATTCCTAATACGGCACTGACTATTTCACATACAGGGTCCCAATCATGCCGCCACCACGGCGTGCACGACTGGGGCTCATTCAATCGGCGACGCCTCCCGCTTCATTGCCTGCGGAGATGCAGATGTGATGATAGCCGGGGGAGCTGAGTCGTGTATCCACCCATTAGTCTTGGGTGGATTTTCCAGGTGTCGTAGCCTAGCTACTTCATACAATGATTCACCAGAGAAGGCTTCAAGGCCCTTTGATAGGGACCGGGAAGGATTTATCGTGGGAGAGGGCGCAGCAGTAGTTGTGCTAGAGGTACGTTGCGAGACCGTTCTAACGCTAACATATCATTTTGATTCATTTTTTACATGGAATCTGCTAAAGCTGACCTCATACATATAGGAACTTGAGCATGCCAAGTCCCGCAGCGCACATATATACGCCGAGCTGAAGGGATATGGTTGTTCTGGCGATGCATACCACATGACGGCACCCAAAGAGAGCGGAGAGGGTGCCTTGTTGGCCATGAAGAGAGCGTTAAGGAGTGCCCGGGCCCCTCCTAGCGCAGTGGATTACATCAATTCACACGGGACGTCGACGATAATTGGAGACGCAGCAGAAAACTTTGCGATCAAAACGCTCCTTCTTGGAAGTGAGGGGAAAGAGAAAGTTGCCGATATCAATGTCAGCAGCACGAAGGGTGCAATAGGCCATTTACTTGGGGGAGCCGGGGCTATTGAGGCTGTCTTTTCCATTTTAGCGATTCACGAGGTAAGCCATAGCATAGGATGATCTGTTGTTAGTTAGCCAAGGGCGGGCTGCGGAATGGGTAATTGATTCGCTAAATTTTAACCTGTGACAGAATGTTTTGCCGCCCACGATAAATCTGGATAACACGACTGAGGAATTTGACTGCAATTACGTGCCCAATATTGCGCAGGAGAGACAGGTCGATGTGGTATTAACGAATAGCTTTGGGTTCGGGGGCACGAATAGCAGCTTGTGCTTCGCCCGATATTGATATCCGGTCGGCTTTTAAGCAGATAACATTTTGCTCTGCCCAGCTTGACCTTGACTGGACAGTACAACTGATTGACTGTAAAATAAAGTTTATTACTATATTGCAAACTTCTAACGTCTCGATAATACGTACTATATAATGTCGTACACTTACCTATCTTGGGCCGGGAGGAGGACGTTAGGTCACATGATTCGCCTCTTCCTCCAGTTAGATCTTCCGGGGGCAAGTTTTGATCTCCCAAACCCCAACAGCATCGCATGGCTATACAAATCCCCATACCCTCCACGAGTAAATAGTATCTTCACCCGAGTCAACAGTTAGCCCAGCCCAGTGATCCCAAGATGGCGACAAACGGCGCTATAGGCCGAGGTGAGGCTCCCCTTCCCATCCGACCCGCTTGCTTGACCCTTAACCTTGTTCCGATTCCCGCTATTCCCGTCCGCGATCATAATTAGCTGTCGCTCAAGCGAAAGACCGGCACTAAATCACCAACTGTTTGCTAACGCTTCATTGCCATCCACCCCCTTTTGGCGTTTAATGGCACAAACAGCATCGTCAGTGGCCTCAAGCTCCGGAGCGAGTTTTGTCGATGCATCGGGATACAAGTTTAGTGATAAGGACAATCGGCCCGGAAAGCTCAAGGTTTCCAAGAAGACGGCCGCTAAGATCGCGAAAGCTGGGAAAAAGGGTTCGGAACAAGTAGGTGAGTGAAAATTTCTATTTCGAGATGCATATCTTCGATTTGCTGTGAGCTGCGATTCTCTGAACTTATTTACTGTTGCTTCTTTTCATTTACGGCGAACCCAGCTTGCTAACTTTTTGTTCACCTCGACTCTTTGCGTCCAGAATCGAAAGAGGGAGACCCTGAATCCCGCGCATCCTCGTCCCCCATCCTCCCTGAAATGGACGAGAAAATCATGGCCACATTTCCCAACGGCAAATTACGAGAAGCTCAATTGGAAACAGTGATATGCAAACATTGTAAACGACCAGTCTTAAAACAAACGTCCGCAGAGCACATACGAGGCTGCCTTAAAGCTAAACAAGAGAAAGCGCGAAAGAAGAAAGAAGCTCGTGATGCTGCCAATAGAGCAAAAGAGAAGGCTTTAGGGAAGGACAAAGGGAAGGATGGCGACGATAAAGGCGATGACGGGACTGGTCTTGGTGGAGATGATGGCGGCGCGATGAAGGGTCAGAAGAGCGCAAAAAAAAGTGCTGCGGGGGAAGACGGGCCGAAGAAGGGCAAGAAGCGCAAAGCTGACGGAGATGATGATAAAGATAAGGAGCCAAAGAAGAAGAAAAAGAAAGACGAGCCCAAGCCCAAGGTCCCCAAACCGAAGGGTCCTGTCGATGTAGAAAAACAGTGTGGTGTCCCTCTCCCCAACGGTGGCCAGTGTGCGCGATCTTTAACATGTAAGAGCCATTCCATGGGTTCTAAACGAGCTGTCCCTGGACGGTCGTTACCGTACGATATGTTGCTTCAGGCGTATCAGAAGAAGAATCAGGCGCGACAGCAGAGTGAGTACCTATTACTTGTCGACCACTACATTTTGTTAACATCGTCAAGCCGTCTTCAAGCTGCTAATGTATACATCGTAGAGGCTGCCATCGATGCGAATGCGCCGATCCACGACGATATAGATGGCAATGGGGCAATCGACTCGGATGAGGAGAAAGACACCGTGATGGCAGGCCTTGCTCGGTCGAATCCGCAGCCGCTAATAACCCACCCTCTAATCCCAACGAGACGCAAATACCATCTCGTGCGCATGAAGGAGATGCTTTCGCAAGTTCTTGGGGGTACCAGGGGAGGAATCTTTTCCCAGCCACGCGACACGAGCAGTCAGAGTCAAGGTCAAGGCGGGGGCGGAAGGACAATGTTCCCATCTGATTCTACAAACTTTTCATCATCCCCCACAAGCGCCGTTGACTCCGCCGCGCAATCTGCGGAGAGCTCGAGAAAGCCTTCCATCTCTCAACAAGCAGCGCAGAATCGAGCTTCCCAGGCCGCTGCTGCTGCCGCTGCGGCAAAGAAGCCCACCGCTACTGCGTCAGCTGCAACGTCTGCTACAGCTGCTGCTGCGACGACTTCGACAGCTGCAACTGCAGCCTGATTTCGCGAATGCTGTACATGTTTTTAATGATGTTTCATTACTGTTTCTCTTCTCTTTGTAATTACGACAACGTTTTCTCTGGGAATGCCTAGGCATGATATGACTGGTGTAGGTGGGTCATTAAAGGCGTTTCTGGCGATGGGATGGAATGGGATTTCCGGCGATATGAGAGATGATACCCCAGCCTTTGTATATATTAAGCGATACTCTTTTGCTTCTTTCCGGGATAATGTATATTGGTTTCTCTCGGTTGGATATATCTGTGTCCCTAATTAATTACATTACTTTTCTACCATTATGATATTTGGGAAATTTCTAGTAATTCTTAATTTATTGTTGGCTTGATGCATCACACCATGTCTCTAATTACTTAAGGAAATATTAATTGATTTTAAAGTATTTAAAACGATGGGCATATTTAGCCACTACCCACGATTCATAGCCTCAGGCACCGACTTCTTCATCCCCGACATCAACCCTCCAACACTCAAACAACTAGCTGCTTTTCCGCGACAGAAGCTATCTACCCGTTATTTGTAACATTACTTACCGCGCAATTATCCCTCTCTTTACCGACCGTATGTCCCTTCATCATTCCCTATCGCGACTTTCCTAACCCCCGCCCATACGCTTCATTCCTGCTTGACCCCTCCCAGCGCAGCCTTTCAAAGGCACCCCAACCCTCCTCCCTCCATCTCTCCGCCCGTCACACTCACGGGAAACAAGCGGCATGAACAACCTCAACGTCCCCGACCTGGACAAAGTCGGCATAAAAGCCGAGCCACAACTGGCAGACCAATTCCGCAGAGAAGTTGCACATCTTCTAGGCCGCGCATCGCTAGGGTTCCCCGGCGCACAGCCCGTAAGCTTTGCCGCGCGACACCTCGTCGAACTACAAAAGGCAGACTACTATGTGGTCGAGAAGACCGATGGGATCCGGTGTCTTCTCTACTTTGCCCGCGGGGACCCAGACTCAGACACGCCGGAAATCCACTACCTCATCGACCGCAAGAATGACTATAGATACGTGCCCGGTCTACATTTCCCGCTCCCGGACGATGATACCTTTCAGAGTTTCCATGTAGATACGATCATCGATGGGGAACTGGTTATCGATACCTACGAAGATGGCTCGTCACAGCTGAAGTTCTACGTTTTCGACTGTCTCGTGCTGGACGGGACGAGTCTAATGCACCGCACGCTCGATAAACGGCTAGCCTATTTCAAAGAGAAAGTTCTCAAGCCCTACAACGCCATGTACAAGAAATACCCGTCGGAGAAGCAACACCGCGCGTTCGCCGTGGAGGACAAATCAACCCAATTTAGCTACGGCCTCGAAATGATGTTCCGCGAAATAATACCCAAGGTGAAGAAAATCCACGGAAACGACGGCCTCATCTTCACCTGCCGCAGCACGCCCTACAAAATCGGCACGGATGAGAACACCCTCAAATGGAAGCCGCCGGCAGAGAACTCTGTCGATTTCCGCATGCGTCTGCAATTTCCCCTCGTCGAGCCGGACGAGGCTGACGGCGGCGACGGCGGCGACGGTGGTGGTACCGCAGAACCCTACCCGGACTACGACGCCATCCCCATCTGCCACCTCTTCGTCGTGCGACGGGCAAACGACTACATCCCCTACGCCACCATGCACGTCACCGAGGAGGAATGGGAAGCGCTCAAGGCGATGCAGAAGCCGCTGGACGATTCCATCGTCGAGTGCTACAAGGACGAGCAGCACCGCTGGCGCTTCATGCGGCTACGCGAGGATAAGGCGGATGCGAATCACATCTCGACGGTCGAGAGTGTGATCGAGAGTATCGAGGATCGGGTCGATGAGGAAGATTTGATCCGCGCGGCGCCGGCGATTAAGGTGGCCTGGAAGCGGAGGCAGGCTGAGGCGGACATGGCGAGGCATAAGGCTGTGGAGGAGGAGAGGAGGAGGAGGGGTGTGGTGCCGAACGGAGGGGGTTCGGCGGGGTCCGGAATGAATGGGATTGGAACGGGAGCGAAGAGGAAATTTGAGGGTGAGTGAGTTTGGGGGGCCTGATTGGGGATGGAACCTGGCGAGAGATGAGGTTGGGTTGGACAAGGAGAGCCTGGGAAAGGACGCGTGACGAATTGGAATGAAATGTAAATGTACGCTCTATTATTCTATGTTTTGACTGCTTTCTCTTTTTGGTTTTCGGGCTGCGGGCACTGGTGTTGTGTTTGGTCTCCTCATACGGATATTGTCATGCTGTTCACTGCTGCTACTAGACATGTCTTGTCGCTTGTGTTTTCCTTTGTTATTTTTCTATCTTTCATTCTTCTATTCCCGGAGACGAGATCTTCCTGCTAGTCGACCGTGTCCAACGGACCGCTATGTTCGGTATTCCATATTTCTGGATCCATCTTCCATTTTCATCGCAACATAGTTATATAAATAAGTGACATCGATGAAATCCTAGGATAACAACATACACGTTCATGACAAAACATGAAGATTCAAGGTATCGTTCAACCAACAACAAAAAATATACAAAGTGGCGCAAACCTGAATCTGGCAAATCCCACTGACTCAATACTCAAAATCATCGTCCACACCTCCCTTCCCTGCCGTGTCCTTACTCACACTCTCTTGCCTCCGATACATCTCTGCCACCTGCCTCGTCGTCGTCGATTCCTCAGGTTTCTTATCATCCCGAGCCTTAATATACCTAGGAAACCGCAACGAAATACCCTTAACCGTCCCGTTACTGCCAGCGCTAGCAATACCCATAACCTCATCCGCCGCAGCCTTGTAGCGCGGACTAAGCGTCAGATCTGCCGCCTTCACCTCCCAGACATACTTGGGTTCGAACCAGACGTCCGGCTGGTCCTTGGGGACGGAAGAGTGGTCGTAGAATGGTTTGGGACGGTCGATGACAAGCGGGGAAAGGGCTTTGTGGAGCTCTTCGAGGAGCGCTTCGGAGAAGCCTGTGCCGATGTTGCAGACTGTTTCGAAGTTTTGCGTGTTGGGGTTGTAGGCGGCTAGGAGGAAAGCGCCGTAGACGGATGTACGTTTACCCCGGCCGTAGTAGGCGCCTAGGACGACGAGGTCAAGAGAGTCGCCGATGCCGGCGAGGTAATCTTTTTTAACCTATAGGATTTTAAATTGGTAAGAAATCTGTGGTGTCTGTAGTTGGTTTGAGCTAGGGGCCATATCTATATTTACCATACCTTAAGCCAGTTTCGACTGCGTTTGCTGGGTTCATAACCGCTTTCTTCGGTGTCGAGCATTTTCACCATCAGACCCTCACATGACGCTTTTACACTCTCGTCAAGCAAGGTCTGGATCTCATCGAGGTCATTAGTGTCTCCGTGTTGGGCGAAAACAAATTCGCCTTCAATTGGCGTGAAAGCCTCGTGCAAAAGAGCCCTTCGTTCTCGTAAGGTCATTTTCACAGTCGCCTACAAAGATGGATCAGCATTCACGGAATTTCAATGATTTTAGGGAGTAGTAAGAAAAGAAATATATAGTGTACATAGCACTCACCTGTCCATTCAAAAATAGCAAATCAAACGCAAAAACACAGACTTTAACCTTGACATCCTCTGCCTTAACATCCTTCCGCTTCCTCGTCATGAGCTGCTGGAATGGCAAAACTTTCTTGTTGACCATATCCCACGCAACGGTCTCGCAGTCCAGCACGAAACTAGTTGTACCTTTCTTTACCCAGCTCTCCAACTTACCAAGGATATCCGGATACTTCTTTGACAAGTCCTCCGAATTCCGCGAGAAGATGGCACAGACGCCTTCCCCGTCTTTTTGTAAGGTTGACGCCGTCGAAGCATATTTGTGTATTTCTTCACGGGCGACGTAGTGTATTTGCGCCCGCTCACCATCGTACTTGTACTCGCATGTGAAATTTTTGCCTTCGAAGCGGTCAAGAACTTCTGTGATGGACTTTGTAGGCTTGGCCAACATAGGTTTCAGGGGAACTCCGGGTTGCAACTTGCACTTGTCCTTCAGATTGAAGATTCCATGCTCGAGCATAGCGGGGATAATGACTTCGTACGAAGGAAGTTCACTAGATAACGGGCAAAAAAGAAGGGGCGGAATATGTTAACATAAAACTTGACTTGGGGATGGGCAAGGGGGAGATTCCTACCTATACACGGACTTAAGAATAGCTTCACCCTTGGCCAGCTCTTCAGTGCTGGGCGCCTTTTTGCCCTGTACCTCAACCTCATGCGCCACCATCGCATGTGCCAGCGCCACGAGTACGGTCTTTTCCGCAAGCCCAAGACGCAGTTTACCCTCGAGAAAACGAATGATGAACTTAGCTTCGCTTGGCCCGCCCTTGTTGTGTGTGATATCAATCCCTTTCGGCCCCTTTCCTGCCAAAGCAGCATCAGCAGACGACAAGAGCTTTTTGATAGCGGAAATCTTTTTCTCCTGAGATCCGTGACCCTGTGTCTTAGCAATGGCAAGGAGGCCCTCGTGCACACCCCTAACCGTCAGTGGTTTCGGCTTGAACATGGTTGGCTGATTTGAGCGACTCTTCGCGGCCACGAGGCCAAGGTCGCCGATTTCATGCTGGTCAGCCTTGATAACTGCCAGGCTGCGGCCGGTGGATTCGCCAATGGCTTTCATGATGAATGATTCGCCAATTCCAAGTTCGATGCCGGCGTAGTCGGCGGCTAACTTGTTGAGCATCAGCTGAACGGTTGGGAGGAGGTCATTTGGTGTAAGACGAAGAACTTGGCGGAGGAAAAGAGAGCAGTGAGATAATATAATTAGTCGCTTAGTAGTCATCTCAATGAGGGAGAAAGTCGTGCAGAGCGCCGCGTATGGCACGGGCGCTCCAGGTTTCCAATCAGGGTAAGGATCCTTCCCAGAGTCCTTCAATGCATGTTGGACCATTTCTCTCTTTTTCTGAGCAATCTTCGGCTTTTCTTCGGCTAGTTCATCACCATTTTCAGAAATGTCATCTTCCTGTTCAGCGGATGAGGATTCCTTGTCTTCAAACGTAACTTCTTCTTTGACCTTCTTCGGAGATCTTGTCCGCACTTTTTGTGTCGGAGAAGCCGCAGCTTTCTTGCCAGCAGCTTTTGCGTTTGAAGATACACGCTTCTTCTCGGGCGAAGCACGCTTCCGCCTCTTCGTGACTGGTTGAACATCGAATTCTTCACTCTCCTCCACGGGACTCTTCTCCCGTTTTAGCTTTTGTGATTCTGGAGAGTCACTACCGCTGCGCGAGTTTTCACCTGCGCTATCCTCGTCTGATGCCTCCTTTTCGACAGCAGGAGTCTCACTGCGCTTACTACTCTCGACCTTTGGTTCCTTGCCAGTCGCAACATCATCCATATTCACATCCTTATCGTTATTCTCTAGTACCTCTGCTTCGTTTGTCTTTGTTGCAGCTCCATCTTCTTGCTTCCTTCTGCTGCCTGGCCTCGAAAACGTCAGAGTGGACTGTTTTTTCGGGAGCGATGCAGACCCAGCATTGGCACCGAAGAACTTCCTGCAAAAAGGGGGGATATAAAGATTAGCAAATGCTCGATGCACCTAAAAGCAAATATGCCAAAAACAAACCCCTTATCCATAAAAAGAAAACAATATTGCCCTTAAGATCTATTCGCAAGGGGGGAACCCTTCAACAACACAACATAGGTTAAAACAAACACACCAACCCCACCCCTTCACACAAAGACACATCCCCAAACGCACCCAATACTTAACTGCGGATCGCGAACATACCCCAAAGTAGCCTGTCTCGCACCACCTCCTTTCTGCGCCATCTCCGCTCCACCACGTCTAGTCGTCAAGCTCTTATTTCGCAGGACGATTACCGAAGTAAGAACAGAAGAGGCACAAAATCCGCGCTTCCCAATCCGGGAACGAGAGATACCGGCTGCCGCTGTGCAATTGAGGATGGAGAACGGTCTATTTCTTCCCTCGTAGCGCGGCGTGCTCGCGATGGGGCGGCGCCAGATTGGGAGTTGGCTCCGTGGAATAAAATTATGTGGTGTAGCCTTGAAATGAGTCGGGTTGATTCTGCAGCGCGGGAAGAGGAGGGGAGGGTGGTGCATAAATGGATCTGTTTTTTTATTTTTTATTTTTATTTTTTATTTTTTTGACTTTCCTCGTAACTCCTCCGGCGTCGTGGGTGAGGAGGATCAATGGCTATATATAATGTTATTTCACCTGGGAAATATTTTTGCTATCTAGTCTTTTATTTAGGCCATTGGAGCTGCCGTGAGGTTTTCGAAATTGTGCAAGATCTGAGGACGTTAGGTGCATGCAATCTAGAGCACACGTTGAAGGGAAGGTGGACAATTATTAACGAAAGGAGTGAAGAGAGGGAGAAGGCGGGAATTCAAGGTGTATTTATCTGCTGGTTCATGCCGGGATCTTGATGTTGTCGGTGTTGTTGATGCGAGGCAGAGGCTTTTCAGGCAACCAGCAGGTAGCTGCGGTGCGTGACGTGCCGAGACGCGTTGGGCCGGAATAGATCACGTGATGTCGCGATTTGCCCCTCCTGAAATCGACCTAGACGTATTGAGATTGCTCACCGGTCCGTGGATTTGATCCCGGGAAAACTAGATCTGGCGGAGAATCAAGATAACTACGCCCAAAAACAGGTGTAACGCCATGAATTTCAAAATTGTTAATCAAGTCTTCAAAACGTGGAGAATGTACTGTACTTGAAAGCTACGATTCCGCTCTCTGAAAGCTCGAGGGACTTCACGGCTGCGCATGGTATGGTAATGTATATTGGTGGTTGCGCTATAGTGTTTGTACCTAAGTGAGTAGGACATCTGTGTGGGTTTGGTAAAATATGTATGGGGAATTTTGCAAGACCCTCTGTGGTCAACAGGGTGACGATGCACGGTTAAATAGCATAGAGCGTCACGTCATATATCTGGATGCCCATTATTTCATATTCTCCGCCAGTGAAGATATTAACGAAGGAGCGGGGAAACAGCAGTTCATGGCAAATTAGATGACGACAATAAAAGGAGATGCAACATGAAAAGTGAAATCAATAACATGGCTAGGAAATGACCGTGAGGCGGCTTCTCTGAAATGCAGATACATCGAGATGACCCGTCCAGCTGGTGAGATATTTAAAGAACCAGCGCAAGGAGGCCGATGTATATAGCACCATTATGCATTGGTGAGAGCGAATTTGCAGCTCCAGGCCAAGGTTCGGCGCTCCCGCTAGAAGCTGCTGCTGAAGGCGTCAAAATCGGATCTAGATAGGTGATGCCGCTCGATTCGACCGGGAGAATGGACATGGAGTTCGTATTCGAAATCACGGTGCCTTCGCCCTCGACATTGGGAGGTAGGTTTGGAATGGACGGAATCGGTGGAACGCTTGGTATTTCAGGAAAAGGGGGGACAGTGAGCGAGGGAAGTTCGGGAAGAGGGGGCATGGTCACCGAGGGAAGTTCAGGAAAAGGGGGTGTGGTGAGTGAAGGGACTTCGGGAAGCGGAAAAGACGGCACTTCCGCCGTGGGAAAGGGAATGGTGATATCTGCTCCAGTCGCGGGAGGAACAGGGACTCCTGGTATACCAAGAACGTTAACGATCGTTCGTGAGATCAAAGAGGCTAAAAATATAATAGGGAGTAAAAAGTAAAAAAGGGGCGGTCGATTGACACGTACCTGCACTGTCACAGACCTCACGACCAGCTTTTGTCATGGCATCGACATCTTCAGGCTTGCACTTTTTAGCGCAGTCCATGAGTGCACGCTGGTACTCCTCGTTCTTGCAAAGGCAGGCAACATCGCCAGGGGAACATCCAAATTCATTGGCTCTTCCGGAGGTCTCCAGAATGCAAGATCTCTGAACAGCAGTCAGTCATGTCAACAAGCTGTCTGTTGTAAGGCCCTCATGGGAGACGAAAACAGTGCAATATGACGACTGGACACTTACAGGGCATTCAGGAAGGTTAAAGACCGGACTAAAGTCCTGACATGAGACTGTGACGGCCAGAACGAGGCCACATACGGCGAGGAGGGACTTCATATTGCCTGCTGTCAGGATCCGCGTGCAGAATAGAGTGGACGTGACGCGTCTTGCAGGAAGCAGAGAGGATGAAGGTTGCCGCTGATTGTGCCTTGCGAACAGCTGAGATTAAAATTCCGAAAAGATGAGTGGTGCGATGTTAACGAATGACGAAAAGGATCGATTACTTGAACCTGGAGATGATGATGAACGGTAGGCTGAAGAGGAGAGGAAGAGGAGGAAGAGGAAGAGGAGGAAGAGGAGGAAGAAGAAGAGGGCGAGACGTAGAGATTAAATAGGGCGAGAGGGCGGAGAGAGGGGAAGAGAGTGAATGCCCACGCTAGCCCGCTTGGGACCGCTTGGGACGCGGAGACACGTCATGTCTGTTGGGAAGGGGGAGGAGGCGGAATGCGAGGAGCTCGCTATAGGGAAGATTGTGTATAGGTAGGGAGTGGGCAACATGAGCTCTCTAGTGGTACTATCTATGTATTTAGTATACGGGTATCAGGACTGCCTGGCTGTCCCTGGTAGAAAATGGAAAGGGAATAATATGCCCTCTTCAAATAAGGAAGAGAGAAACGGTGGTAAAGGAAAAAGGGGGGTGGCCTAGGTCCATATATGTAACTCTGGCATGAGATAGACGAGAGCTGAAGGGTATTATGGACTGAGATACGGACAACTGAGTCAGCGCCAGCTAGTATAGAAGCGTTATTAGGAGTGTATTGAAAGTGCTATCACCGCTCATATGACGGATTATATAGCGTGAAGAGAAGCTCAGTATGTTGTGCAATTAGATATGTTGGGAGAACCAGGAGAGCCAACCCTCTCAATCGTAAGATAAAAAGTAAAAACGAAAAGACATTGTCTTATATAGGAGGGTATGGCAAGAGGGCGTTGTCTGTAATTCCATCCAGCTAACAGCTATCAATTTCCAACAGTACCAGCACTCAGAACCTAGCCAAAAAAAGAAAGAAAAAAAAGAAAAAAAAGAAAAAAAAGAAAAAAAAAACAAAAAAAAAGAGAGAGAGGGAGAGAGATAGAGAGATAGAGATTGGAGTTGGCTGAAACGCTGGACATCCTAACGGAGATGCCCCCTTCAACTCAATCTGAAATTAAGTAGCGGTAATAATATACGCCGTGAGGGGAACATATTCAATTTTGTGAGCATCAAGGTACCCCATTTTCCTTCAGGGACCTAGTAGAAGTACTCCAAATTAGCAACCATTTAGCTCAAAAAGAATACTTGGGAAATTATAAAAAGCATTACCAATACAAGTCGCACCAGCTCCTGGATGTGTAAGGGCCGCACCCAACTAGTTTAATCCACATATGCTTCTGAGGCCATCTAGGAGTTGCCGGTGTAGAAACAATCCAAGCAGGAAAGTGTTTTCGATCCCAGGTATGGGGGGAGAGGGGGGAGGAGGAGAGGAATGTAAAGGCATAACTGATCGGCCTGGATGTATAAGAGCCTCTGGGCTTGCAAGGGCTAACCGCATAAAGATCCATACATACTTAGGTACCTGTAAGCCATCATAAAATCCTAGACGATGTTTTTAAAAGGAAGAATAGGTATGCTGTCTCAGGTCCCCTGATAGTGGTAAATTGCAGAAACAGGCGTAGGTGAACTAGGCTGGCGGAGTCTTTTCTTTTGGCTTTATTTTTGAGAATAAGCTTGATAGTCGTGAGTGTCTCTTTTTCTTTGGGGCGGCCGGAATAGAGTCATTATTAGGCGCTGGTATCATGATATACGGCGGCGCCCCAACAATCGGTGTTCCACCGCCTGGTCCGACTTCCTGACTACCCCTGTAGGATATGTATTGTGGTGCTAAGGACCCGGCGTTGAGATAGGATCCTGGTGTATTATTATATTGAGTGTTTCCTGAGTCCCAACTTATATGCGAAGTGGATGACACTGCAGAGTGCGATCGTGAAACGTTCGTGCCGTTGTGATTGTGTGTTCCAGGTATTTGGAGATACGAGTCGCTCAAGTATCGGGCAGGTGGCAGCGGTGGCGCCCTTTGCGGCTGCTCAATCACATCCTCGAGTTCGGACATGTCGAATCTGGAATCTCCGCCAAACACAATGGAGATGAGCTCCATAGCCGTGCATTTCCCGCTACGTAATCTAGTAGAATTTATCTCCGAATTCCTTCCTTGGATATTGACCGGGCATATTGCCTCAGGATCCGCACCTCGAAGCAGCAGTAACCTTGTAATCTCGAACCAGGATTTTGCCTGTTCGGAAAACTTGCCCTTAGCCTTGATCGTGAGTAGGTAGATAGACACGATGCAGCGAACCCAGACAGTCTCGCCCTCATCCACGTCGTTTGGAGTGGCGCCTCGATCAAGCAGAAATTCAACCATTTTCACCCTGGGTTCCTGATAGTGAACACCTTCCAGCTGCTTCAGAATGACGACACTAACGGGGCTTGTGGTGGCGGTCAGAGCGAAGGCCAGGAATGGCTTACCAGCTCGGCGAAGCGAAGCCCCTGAGGATAACTTTTGTTCAATGTATGGGATTAGCCCATATTGAACACATAGGGTAGTAAAATCGTTATTCCACGCCGGCTCGAAGCCGAACCGGTAGCCTGTATTTACCCAATGCGCGGTTCGATCGCAACGTCTCTTCACGATTGCGGCCTCTCGAAAATGAGCAGCGGCTCTATCCAACTCATCTAGGAGGCTAACTTGTGCTTCCCGCGAGATATCCTTCCCCACGAGGCGGATGTGGTAGAGCATGTCAAATACAAGCGCCCATAAGGCCTGGAAGTTGCCCTCCGAATGTGCCGAGTGCCGGAGGCCTTTGATCCGAGCTACGTACGCTCTAGCCAATGTCATGTTGGCATCAAATTCTGGAGTGTCCACTGCGACAAGCTGCACCTCTACTGTTGGAGTGTGTAAGAAATCGCGGACCGTTCGATGAAGGAAATCAACCTCGTAAGAGACTATTTCATCCACCACTCCGTCCATATTGGAGTATGAATCACAGCTCTTTCGACTGCGGGACTCTAACAAGCCCTTGCACCTACTATTGAGTCTCCGCTCAATTTCTTCACAGCGAATAATCTCTTCCTCTCTTGACATAGGTTTTATCTCTCTTTTCAGTGCAAAGTCGGGGTCAGTCTCATCGAGGTAAGAGAACGTCAAAACTGCCAGAGGTTTCGGGGCCTCGAGTGCTAGGCGAAATAATTGCGAAGCCTGCTCGAGGTAGAACGTGTCTAAGCCTGTCAGAATATGGAAGAAGAATTGCTCGAGGTCAGCCGGGATCTGATCAAGTCTTCTCTGGAGATCATGCATTCGGTCTGCGTTGGTGAGCCCATCCATTAGCGACTTGACCACGAGGTAGACCCACAGAAAAACGCCAGAGGCCTTGTTAACAATCTCAGTCACCAGCTTGGGTGCGCGTTCTGGTTCCATAGATAGCGCCCGTGAAAACCTCGGGTGGTTGTATAGAGAATCGTGGGCAAACGCCTTGATATCGTCGTGCGTTAAATCCTGCAGGGTAAGTTTTGGACAATCATGGAACGCATCCTGAAAAAGCAGCCACGGACGGCTTGCGGCGAGTATTTTAATGTTGTCACCTTGACTCATATCTACAAGCATATCGACTAGGCCCTGGTGGTCGCCATCATATTCATCAAGTCCGTCGATGAGGAAACAAAACTTAGTATCAAACTTGGTGTCTAGAAGTAACTTGAATGCATTCATAAGCTGCGAAATCGTCCAGGAGAAGTTCGTCGTTCCGTAGGTCCTGTAGAGCTGTGCTTGATCTGGGAGGACTTTCGGGATGAGATTAGGCCTCTGCGACAGAATTTTGTGGAGTAAGCTCTGTAGCAAACCCAGCTGTGACTTTTGCATTGAGGTCCCCGGGTTCCAGAAGTAAAAGCTCGCAAACACAATTTTGAGGGGTGATGCCCACTGCTCTAAATACTGCAAAGTCCGCCGGTCCTGGTCAATGTATTTCATCAAGGTAGACTTCCCGGACCCGGCTTTTCCACTCAACCAGTATATACCGTCACCATTGCAAAGCCAATGCTTCAGATTATCCCTGCGAATGTGCTCGCCTGCTTTATCCTCCAGGGTCCAATTGAATGTCTTTTTATGTGCAGCGGAAATCCATTCGCGTCTGTCTTGCATGTTTGGGTAATGCAGGCTTTCGAGGATTTCTTCCTTAATCTTCTTCTCCGAACCACGGGAGACCATTTCGGATAGTAATTGCGAGACTTTCGAGATATCTTCTTCTCTGGTGGGGTTGTATTTCGCGTGTCGGATGGCATTCAGGATCTGGAAACGAGTCTGCCGAGCTTCGTCAAGAATTCTCGACTCAGACTCGATAATGTCGTGCCTGACTGCGTCCACATTTTCGTCGAGAGTGGTCTGTTTGGCGTTGGTGATCACAAGCAGAACCACGACGATCTGTTCACGGTATTGTTTGAGTCGATTATATAGTTCCTGAATATTATCTCGACCTAGAGTGCTTTTCAATGCCTGTCTAACACTTTTCCAATGTTTATGAGTGCCCTCCACTTTTGCAGCTTGTAGGGCCTCGATCAACTCCTCGCCGATCTGGTTACAGTGCACGGTCAAACTCTCCAAAGCTTTCTCGTCCTCGGAAACGGCATAGGCGCAGACTTTGCGAGATCGGTTTTGTAGCCGCCTATTTAAGGACATTAAGTTCTGGGCGATAGCATCCAATTCGATATTGTGCACCTCAGCTCCTTCAGCAGAGGTGTATATGTCGTGTGCTTTGGAAACCAACCTGATTCCAAAGTCAAGCAGCTGCACCACGGTGGCTGCGAGGCTCACTGCGCCGATAGGATCCATGGCTAGGCTGAACGGGTCGCATACAACGGCAATTTGGATGCGAAAATAATGCACGGTAAACCCTTCCTCAAGACTTGGAGGTGTAACTATCTCTTAGGAAGAAGAAGATATCCTGTTCGCCTCGTTAGCAGGGCGAACATATGGTTGCAAGAAGCCCCCCAAAACCCCTCATTTCGCCGTCTGTCCTTAGTGAAACTAGGGCGGAAGGATTCAACTGCATTCTGTCAGGTCAGGCCAGATGTGTTGGCGCCTTGAGGTTCGCTAACGTTAACTTAGTTAGCGGAGGTTGACGACTAACTAGATGCGCGTGCTAGGTAACCAGTAACTTACATGTCCCCAGCCATTTGCACATAGCTAGAGTCACTGTTGAAGATCACATTCAGCTGTAACTCTTGTTACAAGCCTTCCCACACCCTCTAGATCCCGATCTGCTGTAGGATGATGGAGGACGATGAGGGCTCTTTTGTTACCCACGTGACCTCCGCTCATCCATTATATTTCCGCTCCCACTACCGAGTAGCTTGCGGAGTAGAGTAGCTTGCTTCAAGATAACCAACCACCCCCAACCCAACCCACATGGGCCACATCTGATGCGACCTGGTTGCTAGGCTGCTAGCCAGCACTAACTTTTCTTTCTCCATCGTCAAGTTGGACCAACCAACTTCTATCCTCCCAGCTCAGACAATCCGAGCGGGTGGGTACCTGGCATCTTACTTCTTCTAAATACACGATCTTAAGGCTAGCCAAAAGTCAACACCTTCTCGTTTAACAAACGACATTCAACCCATATAATCATGCTCACCCGTCTTATGAACATGATCACTCCCTCTAGCGGTCCTTCTGCACTCCTCGTCGTTGGCAACTTTGGTGCCACAATTCGTGTGCTTCATCCTTTCTGAGGATGGTACCGTTGAACGCTTTGGCCTCACAACCCCACCTTCCACCACCACATTCCGTCACCGTGGGGCCACAGAGAAAGCCCGCAGGCAGATTGGTGTGGTCACACTTCATATTGGGGATGGCGAGACCACCACCAGCTTTCTCGATGATGTTGAGACGCAAGCCTGCAAGCTGTGGAAGGATTCTACAAGCGGAAGTCTCACACAGGTGGAGACAGGGAGCGATGAGATGGTTCAGCGAGTACAAGATGTTCTGCAGTCAGCAGCCCTGGATGCAATTCACAAAAGAGAAGGACGAGGTCGCTCTATGAATGCCACACAGACATACCCTGTTTTTGTTGTTCATATCACACACTCAAGGCCCGGGGGATTCTGACTGAGCCAACAAGGTTGACTTGATGAGATTCATCGTTGGCATGCAGCATCATAATACATCGATGTAATGTTTATTCCCCACATGGCCTTCTTTGTTCAAAAACAATAATACCAATGAGAATGGCTAGCCACTGGGTGATTACAAGCCATATCTGGTCTATATCAATGAGCTTCAGAGCTTGACACCAGATGGTTACGCAATAAAATGAGCTTACATCCTAAATTTCATAAGGGGAAATCTGTTATCAGGTTATTCAATTTTGTTTCAAGTTCTAGAGAGAGTGCTAGTTGCTTATAAGAAAGTAAACCTCTAGTTATTCTAAAGACTGCCCTATATATCATAAACTAGTTAACTACAGAGTGCATGTAGAAATTATTAATGAACACTGCAGTATTTTTCCTACACACTATGAATGAGCAGCGTACACTATACTAGAATTCGATCTAAAGGCGTAAACATTACGTTCTTATATTAATGGCTAATCAAAACTTAGTTCAGGAGGAAAAATGGACGAAGTTGAGGTAGCTTCTGACTGTGTGCCACGGCACTGCTGAAGTATCTACGGCACTAGTTCTAGTAGAGAAAGTTACCTTGCTATGTTTATCTGGATGGCATAAAATCTTCATCACAATTCAGAATCCTCTGATAGAGTACAAATTCAAACATGTCATCATAATGGCTATATATTTTTCTGAGGCTGATGGCAGCCAGCAATCACAACATTTATTTAATATGCTATTACAATGTTGCAGTTTTCAAGTTTTCAACATCACAACGCTTGTCAACCTAATCATTGATACTCCGAGCTGCTCTCCACGCACCGCTGCTCACCATGGCTCTGCACCATGAGAGTTCTTAGTAGCGAGAAGAGCTCTCTCCGGAGAGCTTGTCCACACCACAGGGGCGGCTGGTTGGGACCGGCCTGTCCTCATACACGGAGAGTTGTCCGACTGGGACATCCCCATGAACCCCCCACATGCTCGAGCTGATGGGTTTCCTGGACCGGGAGATGGCTACCATCATGTCAGTATACTTTGGGTATGTCGAACCATGGCTCTCTGGCGGCCATTGGCCAGAGTGGAGGAGGGAACTGTTAGAGGCTCTGCAGTCTGTTTGCGCTGTGAGTCCAGTGCTGGGCGCTAGGAAATCCTGGATCCGGTTGATGCTGATGAGGTAGAAGAAAGGTACTGGAGAAACGTTGGCGGCGCGGGACGCTGTTGTCGACGTTGTGAGAATCGTTCAGGGATAGATACGACGATGATTGTGCATGGGCTTTTGAAGCCGGCCTGCCAGATGCCTCGCAGAAGCCTGGTTGCCTTGTGATTCGATGAGGATGAGAACTAACGGCAGATAGATGGTAGTAATTCAAACTCTGCTAATTGTAATCTCTGTAAGCCCATAGGCCCTTTCTCCATAAATAATACTAGTCGGCAAAGATGGGATTCAAATCTCTGCCATCCTGGTTGGCAGCAGGAATTGTCCCGCGGTCATTCAGTGTCTACTTACAGAGAGCCTTCCATGGATAACGCTTCCCATTTCACTATCCATCCCCATAGGGTATGCGTTTACTCCCCAGAAAAATTATGTACATATCAACTAGAAGCTTCCGTTCCCCCATTAGACTCCTAGAAGTGGACTAATACCCAAAACCGGTTCCTCAATGTGAATTTTGCACTGGGGAAGCTCCACACCGTAGTTTTCGAAATCCAACTTGTTACTTACCTGGTCTGCTACCACCCAGCGCCTATTCATCAAATCGCCATCTTGTGCCCGGTCGAAGAAATTGTGCGGTGCAAAAACCATACTGGCATATGAGTCGCTATTCAATGTCACAGGCACATCCTCAGAGCGGGTGAAATGGTGCATGCCCATATTCACCCATACGACCAGGTCTTCCTGGTCGAGCGACTCGCCATTAAAGAACCTGCTGAAATCCTGCTGTGGCTTCCATGCCAAATTGGTATTTTGAACAGAGTTTGCGAAGGGCTCATTGTCATGTTGGCGTGTGACGGCGAGATGCTGTTTGGCGAATTCAGAGTTCTTGCGGGTGAAAGGGGAATGGGAGATCGGAAGGTGGACGTTGGAGTGGCCTGGAACGATCCGATAACCACGGCTTTCACCCCAGGCGTTTTTCTTCGCTCTATTCACCACGCGGTACATGGCTTGGTTGTTTGGTTCGTAGTTCAACCGTTCTTCCTTCTCCAGGAAGCTGGCTTGAAGCTCAATTTGCTCAAAGATGCCTAGCTCAGGGAACCACGGCTGCGCCTGCTGTGCGACGACCAGTTTGCTTATTTCGAAAGAGTTAGTAGAGTCAACGATGTCAAAGTCGGCTTTCCAAGTCAGTATGTGGCTGTGGAGCGAGCCTTGGGTAGCGTTCTGGATGCGAGGCCCCCATCTCTTCTGTGACTGATAATAGGGGCTCGTGAGGAGGTAACCGCTGGCACGAACTGAAATTTCAAGCGACCCGTCGAGGTGGAATGCATAGTTAAACATGTAGTCGTAATTTCCAACCGTAGCCACAGCACGTATTATGAGCGCACTGCCTTTGACTACACCCAGTTTCGCGAAGCCCCACCCGGACTCTCCGCCACCATCACGGTGCCGGGAAAGAGGAAATCCGAGGTCAGTTTCAAAAATACAAATAGAATCCGGGTTGATGACCGTGCGGTTTCCCGCGTGGTAAGTCAAGTTCAAAAATGTGGACCCAAATGGGCAATCAAAGCCTTCAAGCAGGATTTTCATTTCGATTCCTAGGCTATAATGGCTATCCTGGAAGGCTGCGGGGGGTAGTTATTAGTTTTGCACACTTCGTATTATGCGTGTAGGGTGAGGTGAATAGACTGACCTGAGCTCGCCGCCAGTGGTTGGTTTCCTCCATACTGGGTTAGGGCTTCTTGAAGGGACAACTCGTATAGAATGCGTTCACCCTTAAACTTGACATCAAAGAACATGAGGCCCAAAGAGCGACTATGTGCCATATAGAAAGACCAACCCATATACTCCACGTACCGCTGATCTTCATCCAACTTATACCTTTTCCCACCAAGCTCCCCGAGAGTCGCAGAGAACTTCTCATCAAGTGCACGAGTTCCCATCTCAGGTTTACGATCCAGTAAAGTCCAGGAGGCGTCTCTGGTCTGCTCAAACTCCTGCTCCAGCTCCCCAGCCTCAAAGGCTAACGTAAGGTCATCAACCGTAGGAAAGAACCGCTCCTTTGTCACAAATCCTATTACAGAATACGCAGAGGGGTCTGTTCCAGTCCAGTCAATGAGGAGAAAGAAGTCCAACGGAGTCAGGAAAGAATTTGCTGGAAATCGGAACATAATATTTAGGAATGCATTTTCTCCATCAAAAGAAACAGGGTCCGTGTAGGTGGGCATTATTGTCGTTCTGTTGTCCGCTTCTCCATAGTACAAGCCTCCTTGAAATAACGCGGACGTTATGTGCGCAATGCTGGACATAGTGGACGTAACCAGCGGCTCTACCGCCGTCGCACGCACGTCGTCGAAGACACGAGCATTAAAAGGCACGGACCCGCCCATCCCTCCGTTATAAATGTAATCTAGCGGTTCGAGTATGGTCTCAGAGGATACAGGAAGGGGCCCAACCATGTACTCTTGAGACCTAGGAGCTTCACGCCCTCCTTCAAAAATGATAACCCGGGCGAATTTCGGGGGTGGAGGATTGTCGCCGTCAATGTAAGCAAGCACTGCAGATTTGTTCGTTGGCAAAGCATCGATCCAGAAGACATAATTATCTGTGACAGTTGCGTTGTCAGGATGTGTTAGGTTGAGGCCAGTCGCAGGATCATGAAGGAGCTCCCAGACAGCTAAATTTTCCTCGGCGCTAATTCCTGCCCAGACATTGGTTTTTGGAGAGTTGGTGATAGGCGCAGGCTCAGCGAGGCAGAAATCTTCCTGCGCGTGCTCGAGGCGACGATCGTTTGCTTGGGACCATACTTTTGGATACGTGCGTGACGCTGTGGCGAGTTGGATTAACCCCGCGACTAAAAGGAAGCTCAGTAACATGGTCAGAAAGCAGAGGTGATTATGCGCCGCCATTCCCCATGCAGAAACGGGGGAAAGAGCCCCTTTTTATATTCGGCACAAAGCGCCCTTCATCTGAATAAAGCTTTGTCAGGTGCTACTGTGCCTTCGGAACTTAGCCATTTGGCTGAAAGACTCAGTTCTTCGCAAGATCTTTCAAGTCGTACAAAAGCAAATCATGTAGAAATATCGCACAGGAATTGGTTCCAAGACAGCCTTGGTAACATCACTCGAGGTCTGGACGGCTGGAGAAGGAGAAAAACCCCAGAATTGGGCCGGACAGGAGAAACAAAAGAACCATCACGAATTTCAAAATTCGAAATCCTTGCATAGGTTCACGCAGATACCTCTGCGCTTCAATCCCTGAGGTATCAGCATCGAAACATCGAAGCACTTGTTCCGGTTGTTGGCCTTAAGAAACTCAGTCAGAGCAGCATGGCAAAAGTGGAATATTGGCTGTGTCTTCCTAGCATGGAGCTACTGATGCCTCCAAGACCTAAGCACCAAAGTAAATACAGTCTCGAGACAACCCTCGATCTGAGAAATACGTTGTTTGTCCATTCTTGACTTCAGATTCGATTGAGCCGATCAACGGCGAACTGCTTCAATGGAGATGTAACAAAGTTAACTTGGTTAATTATCTAACTAAGTTAACTAACTGTTGGGGGTCCCGGGAGTTGATCGGCCCTTCTACCAGCAGTGCGCTGGTGGTGACTGAGCTCTTTTGCCCCAGTAGCCTACACTAACTCTTTTTGCTTAGTAATGAATTAGTCATAGGTTCTTCTTGAGCCTGGGATAGTTAGCCATGTAGAACATGTAGAACGCGAAAGGATGCTCTACCAGCTTGGACAATACTATTCTCCAGGGGCTATCGGGATATTGAAACCCATAAAGCATCTCTCTTGCTTCACTATGGAAATCTACATCCGTGGCAACCCGTGATTCCCTGCGCTTACGACCTTGGTGCATCTGGATATTGCGCTGCCTCAGAGCTTAAAACACAATGGCGAATTCACGACAGCAGGCCTTTTCAAAGGTTTGAAGCCGTTTCCTCTATTGAGCCTAATCTATCCTCTAGATACACTTGCTAACTGTGCTATAATTTGTTATTTTGTTGCCTAAAAGCTCCGCCCTCCTTGCGTTGAGCTAAGTTCTGCTGGGCTTAAATTCAGAGGCAACTTCGCAACCTCCAAAGAAGTGTTGCAAGCCCTTGAGCCTGTGCATTCTACATTGTTAGAGGTTGTCAGTGAATATGGTCTCGATGAAAAACTTGCAGAATACGCATTTTTCCCACTATCGCACATATTCAATGAAACCCAAAGGGTTTCTGTTCGCTGCCTGGAGCTGGCCGTGCGGTGTCTGCAGATTCTTATCGAGAAAGGATGGGGCCGAAATCTCCCCGTGAAAATGGGAAAGCAGTTACTGATCC